TGTTGTTCTTGGTCGGGGTGACGGGCTCCAGGTGGTCGCTGCTGACGCTCACCACCTTCTCCGACTCCTGCATGAAGACGGAGCACATTCCGCCCTGCGGACAGAGACTCCCATCAGCCAGGGTGGGGTTCAGTTACATCGTGTGCGTGTGTGCGTGGTTCAACTCTCCATGCAACCATCAGACCAGAACTAGAACCCTGATCGACCCGAGACTGCTTCCTCACCGTGACGCTCCTGATGACCCCGATCTGACCCATCAGGTCCATGAAGGAGTCCTTGACCCGGACCAGGATGTCCGTGGTGACCCAGTCGCTGCCGCCCTGCTCAATGTTGGAGCCGGGGGTGTGGGGGTTATAGCCTCCCGGAGAGGGTGCTCCAGGGGTCATGGGGCTGTAACCCACTGGACTGGGACTGGGACTGGCCTGTGACACAAACATTCGTTCAGACCAAACCAGCCCACACTAGAAACCTGTTGTCGTGAATGCTTCACCTGATAAGCCATGGGGGAGGGCGTGGGGTGATAGCCAGCAGGTGAATGAGTGTTGGGAAACCCGACAGGTGATGGCGCCACCTGGTGGTAGCTCTGAGGACTGGGACTAGGCTGGTAGGAGCCCTGAGGAGACGGAGCGGCGTACGGAGAATACCTGAGGACAGAGCACGGTGTAAATGTTAGCGTAACAACTGGATGCTAACAATGGACCAGCTGGGGGGTGGGGGGTCCAGGTTAACTCACATAGCAGGCGTGCCCGGGGTCTGAGGGTTGTACTGAGGGTTGACCTGTGGGGAGGGGACCTCTGGGTATCCCGGTGTCTGGGGGTTGGGGGTCCCCCCGTAGCCCTGAGGAGACGGGGACGGCTCATCATCGAAGCCGAAGTCGTACTCTTCATCATTTCTGAGGAGGAGAAACAGGAATTGTTGGACGGAGACGCAAAGCGACCAGGTGGTGTCCTGTAGGGGAGACTGGGGCACCTGGAAGGTGTGTTGGGGTTGCTGGGGTCCCAGGCCCCACTCTGACCCGGTGTCCTGCTCCCATCGTGCAGCGGCGTCTGAGAGCCGTAGTGAGGCGTTCGACTTCCTGTTAAAACAGAAAAATCGACTCGTGAATGAAAATAAAAAGATCTAAATGCTTTTATGGGCCCATGAATTCATCGTGTGGATGTTTAACAGAAAACGGGCCTGACTCCGTCGATCCAGGATCAGCACCGACAGGTTAACGCAACAAGGCCATAAACGTCCGTACGCTTCATCCTTACGAGTTTTAAAGCTCCGGACGTGCTGAAAGGATCTCGGACAGAACCACTAACCACACGGAGCTCTAGGGAATCATCCTAACGAGAAACTAAAACCCGCTGCCTCTGAAGGGACCAAAACCGTCCAATATCAGTTCTAGCAGCTGATGACATCACACACGAGTTTTACACAGAAGCAAGGCTGAGCTGCACGGGTCCAGCCTCTCACCGTCGTGGAGTGGCGTCTGGGAGCCGTAGATGGGCGTCCTGGAGCCGGCGCCGTACATGGGGGTCTGGGAGCCAAACATGGGGGTGCGTCCGTGGGCCGAGGTTGCTCCAGTGTGTCTCTTGGCTCCCCTGGTTAGAGAGGAAACAAATGAAACTGTACCACAAGGTGCTAGCATGCTAACCCATGCTAATCCTGCGTGTAGCTAACCACACGTCGGAGCTAACTTTACGTCCGTGAGACGGACTCTGAGAACGTACATGGTAGTCAGGCGCTGCCGGTCCACAGAGATGGTCTGACAGGTGGAGTGCAGCTCCACCCGGGCCGTGGACTCTGTTGCGTCCTTCACCACCCCGATGTATCCTGGTAATAAGGTCAGACTAATCAGAACCATCTGATCTAATCATCTGGTCACTTCGACAAGGTGGCGGCGTGTCTCACCTTTGTAAGGACCCTGGGAGATCCGGACTGTCTGACCAATAAGCTCGTTGTCTCGTCGCCCCCGTCCTCGACCGAATCCTCCTCCGCCACCTCCTCCTCCTCCGCCTCCTCTTGGCTGAGCTCCTGAAGGATAAAACCCACGGTAACAGATCATCTCTAAAGGTTTTACAACGGCTCCATAAAACAGGAAATACATATTTTAGAAGAACTATAATTAAGGCATTATCCTGCTTGACTTATCGTCTGCATTTGACACTGTCAACCATGGCTTCCTTTTGTCCACACACTCTAGCATGGGCATCACAGAGAAAGCACACGCCTGGTTTGAATCGTACCTCACAGGACGATCATTCAGTGTATCTTGGCTTGGACAATCCTCTACCATGCACCATCTTGCCACAGGAGTCCCCCAGGGCTCTGTACTAGGACCTTCTCTTTGTCATATACACCGCCTCACTGGGTGAGATCATTCGATCACAAGGCTTCTCCTACCACTGCTATGCAGACGACACCCAGCTCTATCTGTCATTTCCACCGGACGACCACACTGTCTCTGCACGAATATCAAACTGTCTCTCTGACACATCAAAATGGATGAAATCCCACCATCTCCAACTCAACCTCTCTAAAACTGAACTACTCGTCATCCCAGCAAAACCATCCATACAGCACAATATCTCAATCCAAAATGACTTCCTATCTCTGGCTCCTTCAAAGGCAGTTTGGGTGTTGTGATTGATGAACACCTGACCTTTAAAGATCACGTTGCCTCTGTTGCTCGTTCATGACGCTTTGTGCTGTAGAACATATGAAAGATCAGACCATACCTAACACAACATGCCACCCAGCTCCTGGTGCAATCTACCGTCATCTCCCGCCTCAATTACTGCAACGCCCTTCTAACTGGTCTTCCAGCCTGTACTGTGAGACCTCTTCAAATGGTCCAGAACGCAGCGGCGCGTCTGGTCTTCAATCAGCCAAAAAGAGCACACGTCACCCCTCTGTTCATTGAGCTCCACTGGCTACCGCTAGCAGCACGCATCAAATTCAAATAGCTAACACTAGCATACAAAGTCCGAGATGGTACGGCTCCCATCTACCTGAATCCTCTTGCAAAGGCTTACGTCTCGGCCCGGCCGCTCCGGTCATCACAGGATCGTCGGCTAGCAGTGCCTACACCACGCTCAGGACAATCCAGACTCTTCTCATGCATCGTTCCACAAATGTGGAATGACCTTCCAAGCACTACCAGAACAGGGGCTTCCTTTTCAATTTTCAAGAAACTCCTGAAGACCCTGCTCTTCAGAGAGCATCTTCTAAACTAGCACCCTCCCTGCACCCGTCCCCCTCTCTACTGTCCACTCCTTGTTCCCTACTCTCCATGACTGATGTCAAGTTGTTGTTGTTGTTATTGTTGTTGTTAGCCTCAAGGGCAACATGCCGATTATCACTTGTAAGTCGCTTTGGACAAAAGCGTCTGCTAAATACATAAACATAAACATGAAGACACGACCACACGTCCCATCTGCTCTGAGACGTCCCACACAGGACCGGTGAAGGACGGAAGCACTCCGGGTTCTACAAACATCCAACATGAACTCCTACCTAGAACCTCATTAGGAGCTCTTCTGTAAACAGGAACTTTAAATTCCTGGCTGAAAGGTTTCAAACACGACCCAGGAAATAGCCGGACCCGCTCCAACGTTTAAATATAACTCCCGGTTCCAGAGCCAAAAGTTCTGGTCCGTTTGGACCCAGAAGTCTCACGAGGATCCAAAGATATTTTTTTAATTCTCCATTTAAGGAAAACTCAGTCAGCTGGGCTTTCCCAGCAGTATACATGGTTCTGGTTCTGTTCTGGTTCCACACACCCACCCCCTCCGCCGTGGTGCATGGGGCTGCTGATGCGGGGGCTCATTGGAGCAAATCCTCCCACCGTGAAGTTGGTCACATCTCTCGGCTGAAAACAGACATGAAATGGTTTCAGTAAAGTGGACCAGAACCAGACCCAGAGACCATACGGACCCGGGTTCTGAGAAAACAGATGAATAACCGCGAAACATCGGATTAGTTTTGTTACTAAATACATAATCAGATGCATAGTCATGGTCGTGTCTCCAGACCCAGAAGTCACCTTGGAGCCGCCGGCCAGAACCAGGTGTCGGGTCTTGCACACGAACATGCCGCCGTTCTCCACCAGCTTCTTGCAATGAAGGAAGGCGAAGCCTCTGAACAGGTGGCGGATCTCACCTTCACGGCCCTGAGGACGACAAACATCCGCACGTCAGCGGAAAAACCGGTGGACCGATCTGAGGTTTGGACTCAAGCAGATCAGGACCACATGGAGGTGGGCGGAGCCTCAGGGTGCTGAAGGACATCAGGTTTGTTGTTCCTCGAGGACAAACTTCATCTAACGCAGCAGACAAACCCAGCTCATTCTCACCGAGTGCGGCCCGTCGATGACTTTGACGATGTCTTTGACGTGGATGTTGTTCTGCTCGGAGTCCAGCGCCACAGCGAACCGGTTGTCCTTCCTGCGGTTGACCGCCTGGTGGCGAACTGTCAGAACCTTCCCGTGCATGTTCAGAACCTGCGACACAAGAAGACCTTAGATCCACGCAGCCGCCGGTGTTCCAGTCAGCTCAGGGCTGGGCTAATACCTGGAATGTCTCTCGCTCCAGTCGGACTATGACCCCAACCGTCTGTGGATCCAGCTGGACCAGCTCCCCCCACTCGTGCTGCCCCCCCACGTCCACACCGGACGCCGTCTCGGAGCAGAGCTGCAAGTCTCTGGGTAGAACCTTCAGCTGGACAGGGCAGAGGCACGGGAGACATTAGGACAAGCATGACGTACGGCGACGGGTCTGGACGAGAGGTTCTACCTCGTGCATGGTGAGGTCCGAAAAAAGGATGACGAAGTTCTCCTCCACCCTGACGATCAGACCCGTGTCGCCCTCGTATCGTCCAGCGATCACCTTCACGTGGTCGCCCATCCGGAAATACTTCCTCAGCTCGCTCGCTGGGAACTCCAGAGGGTCCTGCAAGAGAGAACACACACACACACACACACACACACACACACACACACACACACACACACATTCCAGAGAACTGTGTACGTGATGTAAAGGTTCAGCAGCTTTTCCACCAGCTGATGGTGTGTGTGTGTGGGGGTGTGTGTGTGTGTGTGTGTGTGTGTGTGTGTGTGTGTGTGTGTGTGTGTGTGTGTGTGTGTGTACCTTCAGGTCTTCGTGTTTGGGCATGATGGTGATCTTGTTGCCGTCGACACTCAGGATTTTTCCCTGCAGGTTGATTAACTCCCCCTCACACACTTCCACGTTGTCACCGGCCTGCAGATTGTGTTCGCGCTCCTTACCTGCGCACACACACACACGCACACACACACACACACGCACACGACATTTTGCAGAATTAATAGCTAGAACATGAACTTGGGGAAACGCGCTCTAGCGTGAACCACGTGACGGTGATTTCATCATGCAATGATCTGATTGGTTAAACAGCCTAAGAGGTCTCATCTGAACCCAGACGGTGCCGGGTCCTGGTTTGGGTCAGAGAGGAACAGCCTACCTGACTCCGTCACCACCTCCAGATCGATTCCTTCTGGCTGATCCTCGAACTTCTCCAGCTCAGACAGCGTGGGCTTCACACCGTCTGTGATCTGTCAGGAACCAACCAGAACCAGCTGCTGAGAACCAGAACCCTAAACCTGGGCCTGGTTCTAGACCTAAGGTGCGTTTTCTCACCACAGCAGACATGGCGAAGCTCTTGAACAGGAACCCTTTGCGACTGTAACGGTTCCCCTCAAAGATCATGAAGTCTCCGTCATGGCTGACCTCCCCGCCCAGAGACCTAACACACATCACCACAACCTTCAGACTCTCACACCCACCAGCTCAAAGCTCCACCAGCAGAAACGTCTCAGCCTCTACCTGATCTTCTCTGCGTCAAATAACCTCTGAGAAGGTCTCTTGAACTTCTTCCTCTTAGCAAACCAATCTTTCTGCGAGCACAAAGCAACAGAAGGTCAGTGGCTAGTTCCTGTTCCTGCAGATGAACCATCCTGGAATCCTCCTCCTACCAGAGTCATTTTGGCCTTGATCCGGTCCAGATCTATCCGAGGAATCATCTTCAGGGAGATGGTGTTCTGACTCGGCTCCACGTAGTCCACCTGGGTAAACAAACGCCAGCTACTGAGGCCAAAGTTCAGCTAGAGCCTCCCCGGGCCGTGTCACGGGTCGCTACCTGAGCGATGTCGTCCTTGTACAGGCCTCTCTTGAGTCGGACCCAGGACTTGGGCTTCAGGTTGGTGACTTCTTTCACCACCTTCAGCACATCCGTCATCTCCTTGATGGGAACCATCTGCTGGTTCCAGAAGCCCATCCTCAGGTTCCCGATGCCCTCGATGGCGGCTTTCACGTGCGTCTGCTTGTACGACTCCACGTAGATGTAGCCTTTCACGTGGTCGGGCGCCACCACCGACTTGATTTGGAGAGGCTGTGGGTGGAAACCGGAACAGGTAAGCACCTGCAGGTGCTAAGAGCGTGTGACATCACAGCTCCAACACACCCACCCTCCAGAGACTGAACGCTTACCGTGTCGGTGAACTGGTAGGCGATGAACTTCCTCATCAGAGCGATGGCCGTCGCCCTCTCCTCTCCAATCTGTACACACAGGTCATGGTTAAGTGTGTGTGTGTGCGAGTGAGCGTGGGTGTGTGCTGTTACACACCTTACACTTGACCGTCCACAGATTAGGGTCCCTGGTGAAAGGGTGACAGAAAACAGATTAAATGACCTCCCTGTGACATCAGCAGATGTCTGGATGCTAATTGGCGGGGAACTGTATACATACTTGACACCAGGAAGTAGTTGCTGCTGTGTGATGTCATCAGAGAGCTCCCCAGAGCCTCCGGAGTAACTATAGACCACAGAAGAAGAAATAAAAAGTCCAAAGTAAGGCTGGACAATGAATGGAAATGTATCCTTATGGAAATTTCTGACTCTGATCGAGATCATTTTTTCCATGTAGATGAATTTGAAACTGAAAAGATGCGTTTAGCTCGGAAACACTCGTGTCTCTTTAAAGAGCAAGTCACCCCCTACAAGAAACTTACTCCACTCCCACTTCCTGTTTGAAAAATGCAACAAATGCTGTTGCCTGGTAGACCGAGAGGGCGAAGCCGCTAACAAATACACACTCACAGGCAGACAACGACATTGTGACATCATAATGTATCAGCTGACATCATAGTGTACCTCTTAGCCAATAGCGTAGCAGATCCAAATTCAAATACAGTGCAGAACTTTTCCCTGACGACGGCACAACACTGACAGTTTTAGGGAGAATATTTAAATTTGAACTAAGACGCACTGAAGTGCCAAATTATTGAATACACGTGTCTACTGCACGATTAGACACTCGTTTATAGTTTATCAGCAAAAAAAAAAGTTGATTTGGGGGTGACTTGCTCTTTAAGAAGCCGTACCAAAACACACGTGACAGCCCCATCTAGTGGACAGCTTTTGTTTCTGCGCATATCTGTGGTTATCGTCCACTCATCGTTATCGAGGTGAAATCCTCAATATATCGTGATTTTAGACAACTCCAAAATAATAAAATAACCCAGAACTGCTGAGCTTTCATCTTTCATGAAGTGATGTCAGCATCAAGATGGAAGATTTCAGCTGAAGAAGCTTCGATAAGCCGGTCCGACTTCAGTCAGAGGACAAAACAGAAACGGGTGTTCGACTCACTGTTCTCCCGCTGGAGGTTTGGCGTATTTCCTCATGTAGTATTCACCCAGCGCCTCTTCTCTGGAGTCTCTGGGAGCCAACACACACACACACACACACACACACACACACACACACACACACACACACACACACACACACACACACACACACACACACACACACACACACACACACACACACACACACACACACACACACACACACACACACACACACACACACACACACACACACACAATCAGAACATGCTGGGGTGAAACTAACGGACCGGTTCCCTCTCACCAGGAGGACGCTGAACAGATCTGGTTTCTCTGGAGGCTCATAACTCCCACAGCAGCTCCTCCTGTCTGATCCACCAACTAAAGCTTCTATAGGACTCCATTTTATTACAGCAGGACTAACAGAGGGACGCGTTGCCACGGTAACCGGTAAAACCATCGCTAGCAGAGGATACCTCAGTTGCCTCTGGTCCAAACGCTCAAGAGCTGCTGAGAAATTCTGGGACTTTTAGGTTAAACTTCAGGTTTTTTTTATTTAGTTTTTTTTTGACAAACCTTTATTTACAGTCAGAACATTACAAAAATATTAAATTCTTGCCAGAACTAACTAGAGAACGGACAAGACAGATGGAAAACACCTTCAACTTGGAGGTTAACATGAACGATTTACATTAATATCCTAAACTTCAGGTTTCACGCCTCAAACCAGCGACATTCCCGTCATCATCGGACCATTTCTGTGAAAACTGCGTGATCTACTTCTGCCTTTCAGTGCCGCTTCACCTTTAGCTCCTCCTCTGCAGCCTGCTGGGACCATGTGTGCGGAGTAATGACAGCACAATGGTGTGAGCTAGGGTTGTCACGGTAACCGGTGTAGCGGTAAACCCCGGTAAAAAACTTGACAATAATAATAACCGTCTTGTTTTTTAAATCTATATTATCTCGGTGGATTAGCGTGGCTGCGGTGTAGGCGCGGTGACCCTTACCAGCCACCGTATCATCTGCTGAAGTTGCCGGCGGCACATGCGCACTTTGTTGTTTACAACCAAAACTTTCTTGAAGCTAAAGCTGAAATAATGGCCAAAGGAGGAGACGGCAGCGCTCAGGACATTTATTATCCCTCAAAGAAGACAAAGGGGGAAGTACGGGCATGTTTTAGATATTTGAAGAATGCCGAGGGACAGCTGATAGAAGACGGCTATCCTGTTTGCAGCACGAGCAGAAAAAGTGTCTGTGAAAGGCAGCAACGCTTCAAATCTCATGACACATCTGCGTGACCATCACCCACAACTCTACAGTCAACGCAAGGCAAGCTAGCGTTAGCGTTTTAGCTAAAATGCGTGATCCGAGGATTTGGGTTGAGGGAGAATGCAACGAGTCACTATATAAAGCAGCCGCAGCGCCGCTACCTGCATATAAACCGTGTCGCGGACACCGCCATGTTGGAATGACGCTATGCATTACGGGGCTCCCAGGGGCAGATAAGAGTTGGTCTCTCTCCGAGAATAATTATGAATTTAACAACGATTACTGCCTGATGACATCTTCCCACATCTGCAAAGATCACTGGAAGGACACAAACCGAGGACGATGTTTTCCTGATATAGGGTTTATTACTCAAGTAAGGGTAAAAAAGTATCTGAGTAGAAGGCTACTTGAGTACCGAGTATCATCTGGTCTAATATTTTTAAATGATGACATCAAACAGACAAAAAATAAGAAGTTATGGGCAAATATTGGTATTTTAAAGACTAAAGGGGAAAAATGTCAACAAATAAACAACATAATTACAAAATAACACATTTTAGGCTAAATTTAGACACAAACTGAGGACAAAATTTTCCTGATATACAGCGTTTATGTAGTTGTCTGAAAATGTAACACGTTTAAAAAAATACCACGATAATACCGAAAACCGTGATAACTTTGGTCACAATAACCGTGAGGTTACACTTTCACACCGTGACGACCCTAGCGTGTGAGAGTTATTTGAGTTTCTGCAGGATTTTAGCCTGTTGAGAGCTTTAATGTGTTCCATCTGTTAAAAGCAGCTACATTTGAGTGTTTTTAAGTTGTTATAACACGTTGTTATAACACAATGTTTCTCGGTCGTCTCCACATTCACGCAGCTAAAGATCAAGTCCTGGCTTCAGATCAGGTCCGCGTAAAAACACATCATGGTACTGAAACGAGAAGATTTACCTCCAGAGGTTCTGCAGGCGTCTGGATCCAGAGTGATCTTCATCCAGAACCACCTGGTCCAGATTCGACACTGAAGGTGGAGGTGGGGTTAATGTTTCATCAGTAATCTGATAAAGTAAATAAACAAACAAGTCCTACCTTCAGCTTCTTCTGCTCAGGAGCCACCGGCGATCGGGCGAAAAGGAGGAGAGAAAGGAGAGCAGGAGGGACAAGAGAAGAACAAATGTTAAAGGAAAGACAGGAAGGAGACAAACGAGTAGAAACAGGAAGTGTTCAGATGCGGTAGGAAAAGAGGAAAGCGTCAGCAGGAGATGGATGTGGGGGGGGGGGGGGGGGGCACAAGGCATGATGGGAGAAAAACAAAGACAAAGTGATTGATGGTAAGTAAGTGTGCAACACAGAGGCGATCTCAAAGAACCAACAGACACCACAGAACCAGAACCTGATTCTTCCAGTATCAGCCACAACATTATGACCAATCAGAGGCTGTTACACACGACTGTGGTCTAGTTCTGATGGGTCCGTATGAGGAAGTGGACCTCGAACCCGTTCTGTGGGTTCTAACACCGGTCAGTCAGAAAGCTGCTGTTCTACCGGATCTGTCTCGTTCCCCCGTGAACATTAATGCGACTCAGTCTTTCACGACCCAGTTCTGGGTCTACATTTCAGCTGTACCGGATCGGTTCTGCCCAGGACCGTCCCACAGCTGTTCTGATCCCATCTGGGGAAGCGGGGATCAAAGGTTAAGGTGAGGACAAGCAGCTTCTGCCGGTGTGTCCCAGGGCTGCTGTGGCTACCATATTGCTTATTGTGTATGTGAGTGCGTGCTAATGAGCTCGACACACGGGAGGCGACATCGCCTCTCCTCCATTCATTTTCAATGAGACGTGCGCGACAAAGCGATAATCGCGGGTCTCCCTCCTACTGAGCGAAACGCGAAAAACGTGCGTGTGAAATCTTGCGCTCGTGCACGTGTCGTGCACAGGCGACCCAGCGACGCGATCCCAGAAAGTTGAAACATTTTCAACTTTTCATCGCTGTCGCTCGGACGAGGACCAATCAACGGAGGTTTCATTCACTGACCAATGAGCGGACAGGATGCTCCGCACACCTCCGAGCAAACATGGAGGAGAAGTTGATTATTATTATGTTTTATAGTAAAATCAGAAGTAAGATTTCACATAACTCTAGCAGCACCTTGTGAAACATCATATCTACCACTTTATTAACTCTGAACCGCTTAAATAACCTTAATTCCCTCCAACCTGACACAGCCAAACAAAACAACGGAAGTTTCAATTTCGCCATGGAACAGAACGCGTAGACGGCTTTGCCGCTGCCGCGGGTCTCCTCCCGTGTGTCAGGTAATAAATGCAACGGCGACAAATTTCGCTGATCGCGGTCGTTTGTCGCCTCCCGCGTGTCGAGCCCATAATGAGGGATTGTACTGGTAAGTGCTTTGGAGGACACAACCTAGTCAACTAGTAAAATACTCTGATTTGTGTCAGAATGTTTGCAGGTTGCCACACACACACACACACACACACACACACACACACACACACACACACACACACACACACACACACACACACACACACACACACACACACAGCTGAGCTGAAATGAGGTGAGGTTAGCAGTCTGGGATGGGACCTGCTCTGAATGTGCGTTGATGAGGCTTTAGAATTACCGTTAACTGGAGACCGGGACAGCGGGGAACGCCGTGAGACAGAAAACAAATCAGTCAGAGCACAGAGGCAGCTGAAACTCCACCCCCCACTGATCAAAATGCTTCAGAGGCCCAGGGCAGCAAAACAAACTCCCCTGAACTCAAACCTGCTTCTTGATTTGCTTTTACCTGCAAATGCAGATTCTGCTAACTTCGCTACACCTCAGAAACAGGAAACACTGTCATATAGCTGCTAACAGTTTGTAGCTAACCGAAACTTCATGCATCACCACTTATCGTCAGAACTCACCTGTTTCATAACAAAGGTTTAGAACTTTTGAACGGACCTCTGAAGCAAAAACCCACCAAAACAAAAGCTAAAAGCTTTGCTGCATCATGTCTGCTGAGATCGGACAGACTGGTGGTGTTATAAACAACTATGTTCACCTGGTCTTTTTACCAAGTCACTCTGCTCCACAAGTGAAGTTAACCGGGTTCAGTTTCCAGAAAATTCCACTCCCTCTCATGAAGTCTCACCTTTCTCCAGAATATCCTCTGCTCCCTCCTCCCAATGATCATCATCCTCATCTTCATCATCCACATCTACAAACAAACAAAAAGGAACAGGTGGGCGTTAATGCTCCGCCCATCATCAGGTGCCACAAGGTAAAGCTTAGGGGAAGACGTCTCCTCGCACCGGCTTCATCCAGAATGAACCCTCCATGTCTCGGCTTCTTCCTCGGCCGGTCGTCGTCTTCATCCTCCTCTTCCTCTTCATCATACTCATCCTCATCCTCTAGGTCCTCCCCCTCCTCCTCTGCTACCTTGTCACTGCCCACAGGGCTGGCAGCCTCCTCCTGGTGGAGGGCATCACAAAAAACAACAGTAAACGTTACTTAATCATCTCGTTCAGCATAAAGACGTCACACATCCATGTTTCATCATCTCACTCCTTTTTACGTATTAAAAGAAACGGTAACGTAACAATAACTGAATAAGTTTGTTTCTACAAGTCAGACACGGTACACGTGCCCTAGTCACTCAAATTAAATCACAAAGGATATTCAATTTTCGTTCCTGTAGTCAATTTTTTCTCCCAGTAAAACACTTTAATGTTCTGTCGCCCAGCTTTTGTTTCATATAAATTAGTTTTCAACCAAAATCCTTATGGGGACATAAGAAGTGAGCAAGCCTCAGAGCCCGGATTAAAGGTTAGCATACCTCGTTCTCCTCCACCTCCTCAGCTTCTCCATCGCTGCTGCGCTCACTCTGGTTGTCAGAAAAGTCGCTGTCCTCGCTGTCAGACATTTTGTCGTAACTGTGAAGAAACAAACGTCAGCAGAATGAATCACATCAAACAGCACAAACTAAAACTCAAACCTAGACTGTGAGCTCCGCAGAACAACAACCAAGATGGCCTAACAAAGCTAACCACGTTAGCTTAAATGTAACAGCCTCGGTATCTAGAAAACAACAGCTATCAAATCTTATTAAACGCCATTAAAAGTTGTTTCTTACCTGGTTTTATTTCCCGCTTTGATTTTTATTCCATTAAACAACAAATAAGTGAAAACAATAGTTTATCTCTGTCTGCGACGCCTGAAGCTTTCCGTGAGAGCTACGAGATTTCGGGAAGCAACGTGTTACCTCTCGCGTGTTTTCGCCAGGACGTAGCTCGTGGGGATAAAGAGGTCTCACTCTGACATATTTTCCTTTTCTCCACAAATCATTTAACTGGCATTCAGTTTAGAAATATAGTCCGTCTGTTGCCGAAGCAAACATTATTTTGTTCTGCATTGTTTTATTCACCTATATAGGATGGGTTAAGAAGAAGAAGAAGAAGAAGAAGGTCTTTTATTTAGCGCCTCACTAAATCAAATCCTGAGGCGCTTCACAAGATCAAAAATAAGAAGATTAAAAAATGATTAAAAACATTCATGCAATTTGGAAATTTAAAAAATATACTGTAATTAACAATATAGTTTATAGTAAAGTTTTTAAATTACATTTAGATTTTTATTCAATTTTATGCTGTTATCTTTTTATTTCTATTTATCTATTTTGTTTCATTGATCTGTTGTTTTATATATATTTTATCTGGACCTAAGAGTCTGTCATTAAAGATTATCTATCTATCTATCTATCTATCTATCTATCTATCTATCTATCTATCTATCTATCTATCTATCTATCTATCTATCTATCTATCTATCTATCTATCTATCTATCTATCTATCTATCTATCTATCTATCTAGCTATCTATCTAATATGAGGAAAGGGAAACAAAAATGAATAATGAAGAGAAAGATCCTGGGATCCCGGGAAAGGTAAAATTTGTAGAGAGTTGAATGAGGAGAAGCTAGAGATGAAGAATCAACAGGATGTCATGCCAAGCCAGTCCAAACAGGTGAGTTTTCAGCTTCCTTTTAAAGAAGACCACTGAGTCCACTGAGCTCAGACTCAGGATGAGAGAGTTCTTTAGTCTTGGGGATCTCAGCAGCAAATGATCTGTCACCTGACTTTCTATGCATCTTAAACACTGCCCGTCGGCTTGGGGATTTCCGCATTCCTTCGCAGCTACATGTGAACACTACACTGCCCATACGAGATCGAACTGACGCCATCTTCCCCTGACTGTACTGACCCTAAGGTGTATGCAAATCTTTAGCTCGGTGCGCTGCACAAGTAGGTTTAGATCACTGGACCGCAGGGGTCTGCTGGGGGTGGAGAGACTGGGAAGATCACCAATGTATGATGGTTCTAGTCCAAGTAAGGCCCTAATGACCAGGACCAGGATCTTGAAAGTTGACTGGCAGCCAGTGAAGCTGGAGGAGAAGCGGGGTGATGTGGGTGTGCTTTGACAGTTTGGTCAGAAGCTGAGCACAGGCATTCTGAACCTCCTGTAAACGGGTCACCTGTAAACAGTTCCACTATAGAAGAACTATAAGGTGAAAATGCATAACTAAATGTGAGCTAAATAGAAAACGTTCATTATTTTTACAATTTGCTAAAACAATATCAGCAGATTGGCCACATCCATTCATGGAAATGTATAAAAAATATCTGTCATAAATACGACAGGTGACTAAAATTCAGACATTTTTCTGTCGTTTTCAACTAATTGACATTCTAAACAGGCTTAAATTTTAATTTAGGAGACGTACAAAGTAAATATAGTTAACGATGTGATGATAAAAATAAAAATAGGATTAGTTGTGACAGAGTGAGCTCTCTTACTACATATCTTTGGCAAGTAAAACGTCATTACGCTATGCTGCGTCCCTCTTCATTCAGCCAATCACGTTAATCGAGGGCTACGCAGTGCGCATGCTGATCCGGTCGACGCTTGGACAGCAGTCAGACAGACTTCCTGTCCTGTTTCTTGACCCGTAGAGGTGTTTTTACTCGTTTTCTTGGAGATGAACAGCGTTGGGGAGGCCTGCACCGATCTTAAGCGGGATTATGACCAGTGCTTCAATCGCTGGTTCGCGGAGAAGTTCCTGAAAGGAGACCGCAGCGGAGACCCGTGCACGGAGACCTTCCGGAAGTACCAGCTGTGTGTGCAGAAGGCCATCAAAGAGAAGGACATCCCCGTCGACGGAGTGGAGTTCATGGGTCCCAACAAAGACAAACCTGAGAGCTGATGGAGCCGCAGACGGGTTCGGATCAGACCTGACCGGGGTCCATGAGGCCCGTTGAGCATGCGTACAGGCGCCAAGCCGGGCGAACTGGGTCACCTCCCGGTCCGAAGGCCGGGAATCTTTTTCAAACGTCACTTTTGGAGGACTCGGTCCAGCTGTTGGTCACCTCGTGAGCCGGACGTCATCATTTTGCCAACTCAAACAACCAATCACAGAGCTGCTGTCACCTGTTTTTTTTTTTTGGCTGAAATTAATTTTTTGTTCTTTTAAGATTTCCCGGTCAGACTTTTCCTCTGTGAATAAAAATCAACATATCATTATAGCCATAATAATGAAAACCACTTCCTGTTTCTCATCAGAATTTTTTAAATGAAGCTCTTTGAGTGGATGAGAGGCAGGGGCGTGTCCAGGGAGTGGCCTGGGGTGGCACATGCCAACCTTGGAATCTGACTGGCCACCCCAGGTGCCACCACACTAATTTACCTTTAAATCGGCTTTTCATTGTCCACAAAAGGCTTGGGGGTAAAACAAAAAAAGCATAACCATTGGTGCCACCCATGCAAAAAGTTGTGCCGCACCTTGGCCACCCCATTTTAAAAGATCTGGAGACGCCACTGATGATAGGTAGATGGCACCATCTAGGGTTCTACAACCCCCCAAGGTACTTTACAACTAATCAGTCATTCACGTGCTGGTGATGAAGAGCTGCATGTAGCCACGGCTGCCCTGGGACGCACGGGCAGGTCTGCTGGTCCTGACCACCCCCAGCTTGCAAAGCAGGTGAAGTGTCTTGCCCAAGGACACAGATGGGGCGTGAACCTGCAACCCTCTCGCTGGTAAATGACGTGCGAGTGTGTAAACTCAGCTGTGATAAACTGAAGCAGCAGGTTCGTTGAGCCTCACAAACATCTGCAGCGTGTTAGACTTTCTCAGCGGCCTTGTTTGCTTTTCACATTTATAGATGTGGAAATGTTCATGAATAAATTCAAGTGAATCTTTTCATTTTGGTCTTTGCTTCATTTTGTGACTCCAGCTGATTCAGAGTCTAGAGTGAGTGTGTGTGTGTGAGAGAGAGAGAGGCAGAGGAACCAGACAGCTGCTGGCTCAATCCCAGCTCATCTCTTCTACCGTTGTGCCTTTGGGCAGCAGAACTCACCTATGTGGTTGCTACTGGAAACCTGTAAAAGTTCAGTTTCTGCTTCATCCACTGAAGTTCTTTACAGCTTTTAGTATTTCAACATTTAAATGTTTTTGTTAAGTTTTGTTGATTGAAGCTGTGACTCATTATTGTGATTGCGTAACTAAAAAGGGGGTGGTGCTGCCGCAACCATCCTCTGCTACCGGTCCCGAATGCTGTCTACACGGTGTTTGTCCGTTCCTCCGTCAAGCAACTGGTCGTTGGGTCTCCTGTCTTAAATGGCTGCGTCGACAGTTTTACTTTGACTTTCACCTTTTTGTGGTCATTTTGACTTTATTCTTAACTCTCATCTGAGACGATGAAGCTAAACTTTGTAGTTGGATCCTTTTATTTGATTTAAAGAGCAAGTCACCCCCTACCAGAGTCTAACTCCGCTCCCACTTCCTGTTTGAAAAATGCAACAAATGCCGTTGCCTGGCAGACCGAGAGGGCGGAGCCACTAACAAACACACACACACAGGCTCATGACAGCATTGTGACATCATAATGTACCAGTTTACATCATAGCATACCTCTTAGCCAATAGCGACGGCAGATTTAAATTCAAATGCAGTGCAGAGTTTTTACCTGACGACGGCACAACACTGAGTTTTAGGCAGAATATTTAAATTTTAACTAAGATGCACTGAAGTACCAAATTATTGACGACACGTGTCTGCAGCACCATTAGACACTCGTTTATTTAGTTTATCAGCAAAAAAAAAAGCTGATTTGGGGGTGACTTGCTCTTTAAATTCATCCTTATTTTGATTTAGGTGGCTTTCCACCCCTCACAACGTCCATCTCTCAAATGGGCCATTCCCATCTGTACCGGGTCGGCCCGGGCCGGGTAGCGTAGGTTGTTTACATATCTGGGTGGCCTGGTATTTGTCCGGGCCAACCAAGGCTCATTCTCAGCCCTCTTCTCGAGGGGGTCTGCTTCAGGCCGACCAGGGCCAACACACCCACTGCTGACAGCAAATTCACACCTTCCATTAGAGCAAGCCTCTGATTGGTGGGTAGAATCAGCCCACATGGGCTTAAGGCAAGGATGTGTGGAATCAACCGGGCCAGGCTGGGGCCGACTGGGGCTACCCGGCCCGGGCCGACCCGGTACAGATGGGAATGGCCCATAAGTTATGAAGGGAGAATGTTGAGGGACACATGGAAAACAGGTATTCTTGGGAATCTAGTCAGCGGCTGCTCTCCTGCAGCCGCTGACTAGATTTGCAGAGTGTTCCTAACAGGAAGTGGACCGGGATCCTGGATTTGTCGGCTGCGGAAGCAAAGATCAGAGCTGCAGGGTTTATTTATTTATTTATTTGGGGGGATTGGGGCGGTATGAAGCTGGACCCAGACCGGTGTTCAGCTCAGAGTTTCTTCCTCCAAACACAAGAATGCAGTAACACTTTTATTTTTTTTAACCAGATAGAAGGTTCTCTCAGCCCGTTTTGGGGATTTGCAGCCCAGATTAGAAAGGAATTTGAGTTGAGACCTACCCGAGAGCTCAGAGGGACATCTGAATGGGTCGGGCCTCTCCGGGTTCTGGCAACAAATCAGGAATCCTCTGATGGGAATCTCTGTAAAATCCGACACAAGTCAGTGACTCGATACAGTCTGTTGAGTTTCCTTACCTGGGAAGCGTTTAACTAACTGGAATAACGAACTGAACTCAGAATGTTTTCTTTGCGACGTGCCGTGAGACGACTTGTTGCGGTTTGGCGCTGAATAAATAAACTGAACTGAGTTGATAACAGCTGGAGTGTTTATCTACGCGTTCGTGACCTTTTCATCAACCACTCTTCTGAACGATCGGGTTCTGATGAGCCGGCCTGATCCGGATGGGCAGGCTGGTTGTGGTTTGTGTCGTCTGACTGGAGCAGGTCGTCCCGGGTCGCAGATCCACATCTGCCCTGGTTAAAGGTCAGAACCAGCAACAAAAACACAGATTTGGATAATAAACGTCACAGCTGACAGGTCAGATCAGTTCTGCAGCATGTGTTAGTTGTTTCACTGCTCATAGGCTTAACAGTTTATTAAACCATTAAGTCAGATGCGCTGGAGCAGGAAAACACCCTAAACATGCTGAGGACCAGGATTACAGTTCCCAGGGTTAGATACCCCCCCCCCCCCCTTCTTCTTCCCTTTCTGATTCAGGAAGTGAAATCTTCTTCAAGAGAGAATTAAAGGACCATCATTAATTCCCTCATTAATCAGTCATCTGGAAAACAAACTCAACATTTTTATTCATCAGTAAATTAAAACTATAAAATTAAAATAAAACAGACAAAACTCAGAGCAAATGCAGAGAAAACATTATTTCACAAATATAAACTTTATAATAAAAGTTAAGAATGTGAAGCCGTTTCCGTGGTTCACGACTCCTGCTGAACGTCTTCTCGGCTAATCCCGTTTTAGTAGAACTGCTCAAAAAGAAACTTGTGGATTATTGGGAATTAAAGATTTTATTCTCCTTCACATGTAAAGGCACACACACACACACACACACACACTCTAATCGCTCCTTCAGCACATGCTCCTCCCCCGCGTGGCGTGCTCTGTTCGGAAGCACACCGGGATCGCTCTCATCAGGGATTTATTGTCTGAGGTTGAACGTCGAGGACACACGAGCGTGCTGCCTGGTGAATCTGATGTGTGACCACTCCACCGTTGGTGTGGCAAATGCGGGTGTGTGAAATCGGTTTGTGTGTAGTTATTGCCGTGTGGCTGGACACCAAAACTGATGCATCTATGATTCCTTATGGCTGGAGCATCTTTCATATGTTGAAATCCGTGCATCCTGCCGTGTGTACCGGGCCTCAGGAGACGCCTGAGATCAGCAGCAAGCACAGCTAAAATATTCATTTGTTAGAAACATTTGTGTTGGTTTTTGCAACGGAGAGGGCCCGTCTGACCAGCTGGACCCATCTGGGAACACTTTCTGTCCGGTGGGGACAAAACTGTGTTGCAGAATTCGGTGTTCATCATCTCAACGGTCCTCAGCAGTCCTGACAGGAATTCTGTGGCGTTTTTCTCCTGGAGAAGCTCACACTGACAGGCCAGCTGCTGCTGCGGAGACAACAACACCACAGCATCAGCAAAGGAGAAGAAGTCTCACTAAGGTCCAGAACCTGACATATCGAGCTACTCGTGCCCCTATGGGCTCAACTGTTCTGGTTCTGATCGAAACCAGAACACCCATTCTAACCCATTAACGTCAGAAGAACCAGACCAAGAGGCTCCGCCTACTTTTGTATAAAGGAGGGCCATGAGATGTCGTTTGGAGCATCTGCTCCTTCTGGCTTCAGTTTGATGTTCCTGCAGCTCGCTCCACGTCTCGAGTCTAACCCAGATGGTGTTTGGGGATCGGACCGGGCTTGGAAAACGCCCAGAAGAACAAGCCAACTCCTCCTCCAGGACGGAGCTCTGGGAAAGTGGCGGCAGGATCTACAATCTCAAAAGTTCAACAGCTTCCCATCATGACACGATGAAGTCATAGGGATGGACTTGCTGGAACTTCCACTGAATCATTCCGGCTGGATTCAAACGGGAGTTTCCCCCACCCATGGAACGACTAATTTCCGTTACATCAACAGTTCCGGAGAATTCCATTATTCACTCTGGACAACAAGGAGATTTGGGAACCCACACATTGCTCATTAGTGATGTTTCTCTCTTTCGTGTTGGTTACCTGGTCGGGGAAATCGCACGCCAGCCTCCGAAGCCAAGGACCGACTTTCTCTTTTCGAGGAACCGTCTGGCCGTTGACCTCCAGCTCTTTGATGAGGACATTGAGTTCTTCAGCAAAACACTCGAAGGCGACGCGGGGACATTTCTGCTGGAGGGAGACAAGGAGGCAAGGAGACGGCGAGATGTTGATGAAAACCTGAAGAACCGTTCAGATGGTAAATAGTTCAGATCCAAAATGAAGCTGGTTCTGGTTCTGGTGCTCTGAGTTGCCATCGCAGCATGCGTGGATCACCAGGACAGAACCCACAACAATAAAGGCAGAAATATTAATAATTGCTTCCAAATGTGATTCTCTTCTTTTCAGATGAGCAGCGACAACTGAAGCAAGGCTGCTCCTCTAACTCCACAACATCCTCATCTTGGTGTTCATTCTTGTTGGGACTTATTTGAGGGACTGAATGATTCCATTTTCCCACATAAATCAGGGGATTTGTCACAATCAGGAGCCAATCATTCACCTGCAGCTGGAACAGAGCTGTGTAACAGCGTGAAACGACTGTTTTCCACTAAAAGTCATTTCCCCCCTCTCCTCTGACACAGAGCGAGTCTGCATGAGATATGGCCTCAAGGTCTCATGCATTTGCTTCTTTCCAGCTCAAGAGAAGAATGAAGAAAGGACTCTCTCCTTTTAATTAATCAAAGAACTCTATTTTAATAAAGCTAATCAAACTAAGTGTTAGTCAATAATAAGATGTGACCAATCTGTGAAATCAAAATATTAATTACTTTATTATAATCCTATAGAATATAATAAGTAATATGACTTTAAATGTTTCCACCAGGACTGATCTCACATAGCGGTAAGACATGACACATTGCTTTACTGATCCAATCAGAATCTGCCAGATCTGACGGAGGCGTGGTTTTGGTGGTGTTTGGTAAATCTGTCATCTTTTCATTCGACCGTAAACCAAAACATCCGAAGTATAAAACTATGCCCACGTCATCTCTAACGCCAGTTCAAAGCGTTCTAGAGAAGTTGTCGGAGTGGCCAATCCGTAACTCTCCTCTTCAGCCAAAAGAACCAACGACAAGCTGGATAAAACCTGTTGCTGTTCCACCTGCTGCAACGGTTCCCTTCAGAATAAAAGCTGAACCATCACAACCCTGTTTTGGGTCTTGTTAGATGCCGATAAACTGTCGTGACCTGGAAGTATCTCAAGACTGGTGGTCGGCTGCCGCGGCTGCTTCCACAGGCTTCGGCTCCATTAAGGTCAAGCTGGACCTCTACACCTCCTGATCTAGACGGGGACTTCCGCTAAGGGTACGTAGACGACAAATGGCGTCGAAGGTGTTTATGAATCTCCTAATCAAAGCTTAGAGCGAAGACATCACCAACACTTCCCATCAGAACTAATCGTTTCTTCGGATTTGCTGGTTCTGAACAACATTCCACACTGCACCATTCTCCGTCTCATCCACCTTAGTTACACCATACATTTAGTGTTAAAGTTAGTCTAGTTTAATTTGTTTAGTAATAAATCTTTAAACTGTTAAACTCGACTCTCTCTTCTGTTGTCTCTGAGTGAATACGAAGCTGTTATCTAATCCCTGCAATAAAAAGTTCCAATCTTCTGGTTAAACAGTACCAACAGATCCATAAGGTTGATTTCCTATTTTCTATGGAATATTATGTCTTATGGCTCATTAAATAACATGTAAATTAACTCATTACAGCTGGCAGCTTTTATCACTTGCAGTATTCCAGAGTGGATTATTCCAACACTGCCGTTGCCGCTGCTAACCCAAGGGATGAGTCAGACTTGCAGCAAACCCAGAATCATCGTGCAAAATCAGCAGGAGGTTGTCATAAAATGTCTGCAGGAACTAAATCCTCAAAAAATGTGACATTGTTCTCAGTGAGAGAGCATTTTGTTTCCAGATGTGTGGTTTTTAAAATAAACATCTCCGCCACAACCTCGGAGCAGGCTGAAACAAACATCGGATCCAAGCGGGTTTAACTGAAATGAAGGAGCAGCTCCTCTTCCTCCTCTCTCGACCGAGCGGCAGGTTTCAGGACGGAACCAGAAGATGTGTACGGCAGGTAAAGTGATGCAAAAACTCACCTGGTAATACGTGATGGAGGGGGTGTAGAGGCTGGAGTTCAGCAGTTCCTGCAGAGAAACAGAAACTCAGACTCAGGAGGACTGAATAGCGACGGGTTGGAGATCCTGAGATGTTCTGCTTCACGTCTCCATATTTGTATGATGGTTTGTTTTGGGAACGCGGCGTAGCTGCGGCGGAGCCAAACCAGCTCACAGAGCTCAGACGTGTTGTTGGCTTTTGTACATTCACATGTTTACCTTCATTATCCCTTTTATTGTTCTTTGTTTACACAGTTTAGTAAAAAAAAAGTTGTTTTTTTACCTTTCAGCTCAAATCGCCACCATCATCAGAGATCACCGGTGTTGGTGGCCTCACTTCCTTTTAGTATTATTAAAAAAAATGATTTTTTTTACTGAACTGTGTAAAAAACAAACAAGAAAATGGATGATCAGACATACTGTTGGGTGTTTGGGAGTCACGAGAAGATCTTCATTTAGATCTGGTTTTGATTTTCCATGTTTGGCTTTCATAAGAGCCTCTGAGACGGATGCTCCTGCTCCTATCTTGGGAATATTCCTTTGAAATGAATATTCCCAAGACAGAAAAACACAACAAAACCTTCAGATGTCGGAGAGACTCATCAGTTCTAATTCATCATCGGATTCCTGCCCATTAAAGGCTCCGCTGACAGGAACACATGCTGTTTGATTCATTCACTCATCCGGGGTGACGTTCATCATGTTTATGTTTATGTTTATTCATTTAGCAGACGCTTTTATCCAAAGCGACTTACAGTTTATAACCTATAGGGCATGTTGTGATCTGTGGGGGAAACCGGAGTACCCGGAGGAAACCCACGCATGCACGGGGAGAACACGCAACTCCACGCAGAAAGGCCGCAGCCGAGCTTCGAACCTGCAACCTTCGTGCTGCGAGGCAACAGTGCTAACCACTGCGCCACCATGCAGCCCATCATATCATCATAGCAGTATCCATTTTCAGATGACTGATCAATTCTGTCACCCTCTGTAACACCGACACACTTAGAAGTGCATACGTCTCCAAATTTCAATCATCTGGCAAATAAAAAGCAAATGTTTCCATATTCATTTGACTTATTGTCCACCAGGAGACAAATAAACAACCCGAAATCAAAGATGTGTTCATTTCTGTCCCACAGGGTGACATCTGCTTCAGGGAGACTCTTCTGCTCTCCTTTAATGTCCCTAAAAACAGTTTTAAAATAGGGGAAAATGTTCTCAGATGTCGCAAGGACGCTGTGTTTGATAGAGCCTGTAAAAACAACAACTTCGGTTCGTTAACGTGTCAGAAGTCAGATTAAAAGGTGTTTTAACCGTCGGTCTAGTAGCCCACATTTATTAAACTTAAAGAGCAAGTCACCCCCCACCAGATTCTAACTCAACTCCCACTTCCTGTTTGAAAAATGCAACAAATGCTGTTGCCTAGCAGCACACACACACACACACACACACACACACACACACACACACACACACACACACACACACACACACACACACACACACAATGACATTGTGACATCATATGGTACCAGCTAACATTCTAGGGTACCTCTTAGCCAATAGCGATGGCAGATTTAGATTCAAACGCAGCGCAGAGTTTTTACCTGACAACGGCACAACACTGACAGTTTCAGGCAGAATATTTAAATTTCTACAAAAATGCACTAAAGTGCTAAACTATTGACTACACATGTCTGCAGCACAATTAGACACGCATTTATATAGTTTATCAGAAAAAAAGTAGATTTGGGGGTGACTTACTCTTTAACGTTTGCATCCTTTTATATTAAAAACGATAAATAAACAACATGTGTTGAAAAAGGGGCTGGTCGCAGTCTCTCAGGTTAAAGTGAACATAATAACAATAAACCGTTATAAGAAAAAAGCAACACAAGGTCTCTGCTTTACTTTTTAAAAACTGTTGAGGTGTGAAATACAAAACTCGACCACAACCACGTCATGATTTAGTATTTTAACCCACGACTCGATGAAAAAGGATGTGACGACAGCTGGATCCGCCTCGCCAGCTAACCCTTACCTGCTCCTGGGCGTGGGGACTTTCAGTGGACCATGATTCTCACAACCGCGTTCTCTAATTCCACCTAAAGATCGACTAAAACAACATTTATCCTAAATGTCAGAGCAAACTCGCTGAACTTGCCTCTCCCCGTGACGACGGACGCTTCTGATTGGCTGAGCGGTTCGGTGCAGATTTGCATATAGACCCGTTAAACATGTGCAGGCGTGAAGGATTCCTACATGATACAGCACACATTTATGCCTGAAGTTCTGTTTCTCTGCCACAGAGATACTGTTTTCTTTTACAGGCATTAACCTCAATCTAAGTATCACAAAGCGCTCTGCAGCAAACTAAAACAACCCTTTAGACGTGCATGACTCATGAAGTTCAGGACCTGGTTGAAAGCATGCCAGAGAAGTCTGCACGTGGAAACACGTTAAAGGGACGAGGCCTTATGGGAAAGGCTGCAACAAAAATTTATAGACAGTAAAATAATAAAATATCTGTTAGATAGCAAACAACGTGCTTACTGTGTTTGATAAAACATAGTAAAACATTTAGAGATGAAGTCAAGCTAACAGACATTTTATAACGGCTTCTCCCATTTTCTCCTCTTTTTAAGCCTGCAGCTTTTCTCCCTGATAAATAGTTTAATACATGTTCAAACACACAGTTTTAGGGTTTAAATAACCCCGGTTTAACTATTTTAATCTTGTGAAGCGACTTGTGATTTTTATCTTGAGAGGTGATATAAAATCGTTTCCGTAACACTTTACAATAAGGTACGCAAAATTGTGCTTCGTTACTAGGGGACGACTTAGGGGGTAATGAGTAATGAAACAGGGAAGAATGGGTAGTTTTAGTGTTTTTACATATTGATTTCAAAGTTTATAAATGTAAAAGTTAATTTTTGTGTACTTTTCTGATTTTTTTATTACCACACACAAGATGAAAGGAAATGATGTGTAAACAAGCTCAATGTCTTAATGGTAAATGGTCATGTAACAACATATAAGTAATGCTTAAGTACCTAGTAAGTACAGATTTGTTCCGCAGTAGGGATTTGGGAGGAGGCTTCACTTTAAAGGGACTTTATGGACTTTTGAATTTTTATGCTCGTGATTGCCCCCTCAGGCCAAAAGCGTAACAGCAGCTTCATTAGGAGGCTTGTGCACGAGGTGCACATGCTGTACGTGCACACTCCTTAACGAAAATAACAGCTGAGACAGTCCCGTGTGTGTGTGTGTGTGTGGCCCGGAGGACAGGAGAACGCGTAGCTAATTAATTAAATAATGTGGTTCTGTACCTTTCTCTTCAGCACAGCCGACAAAGGTTTATGATGGGTCAGTCCTCCTGCATGCTCAGATCATTCCCTTCCCTTGCTTGAAAAATTGTTCCAAAATGAAAGTTGAACCCACATCTTTTTTATCTGTGAATTCAACGCCGTTCAGCGAGTCTCAAATAAAAATTTGGGCATCTTACTGTAAAAATATATACCATTAATGTAAAAAAGAAACTCTAAATAAACTATGTTCACATCCAGAATCAAACCCAGGTCTTCTGCATGGGAGTCAGACATCTTACTAGGTGAGCTAAAGCACCAGTGATGTCCTTTGTATCTGTAGCATTTATATCCTTGATTACAGCTGAAACAACGTCAAACCAAAGAACGGTTCGGAGTGAAAATGGCTATTTTGTTGCTAATTTGCAGGAAATATCTAGAAGAAAGTTCTACAGAAAGTAGCTAAGGGCCCTCAGAAATGTAGCTAGCTTTGTCACTAGGCGTTAGGAACAGCGACAAAGTGGCACTGCCTCTCTCTCTGCTGCTAAAGCTACGGATAGCAAATGCTACGGGCGATGCCTGAGCGTGAACGCGCATGAAGCAGCCTGCTCGACCCGAGCATCTCTCTTTTTCTGTGGTTTTACAGAAAAACAGGCAATCACAGTAAACATGCCAGGGCTCATTCTACAGGACCAGGGCATTGCAGGAGAATGTATGAAGAAGACATTTATTATTTCTACACATGTTTTGGCTGTCACACTTCCATAATGCCCCTTTAAGGTAGACAAAAGCAGTAGGTAATGGTTAAGTAACTAGTAAGTACAGATTAGTTCCTCAGTAGGGACTTGGGAGGAGGCTTCACTTTCCATCATCTCGAGACGGACGGATGCCGACGATGGACGACGAAGTGACAGACGAGTGAAATCAAGATGAAACAGTAATGTTAAATCACTGTGATGTTGCAAATTATCTGCATCCTTCATGAAGTTTACAAAAGAGAGTCCGCAGGCACCACATTCATTTGGGATTCAGTCCTTATGTCCCTTAGTCCCTGAATAAGACTGCTGGGTGTTCTCCAGTAATTACTGGTTAACTACCTATTCTTCCCTGTTTCATTACTCATTGCCCCTTAAGTCGTTCCCTATAACGAAGCACAATTTTGCGTTCCTTATTGTAAAGTGTTACCCTTTTGCAGCCTTTTCCGCGCCATGAGAATCTCTGCTGCCTCCACAAACTCTCCAAACACGAAAGAAAACCGTTCGTTTCAGAAAGTCCCAGTGAAGCCTGAATGGCTCATTCTGGAAGGTACTGAAAATGTCAAGAATAAACCGTCAAACTAACTTTATGTGAGAGGGATTAAGTGCAAATAAAGAGTTATTTGCATTGACCATAAAACTATTGTGCTGTTTAAAAAGGTCAAGTCTCTTTTAAAAGAAATGAACTGAAATGCCTAAAATACCTATTTAGTTTTAAACTTTAATTGGATTATTATTTTTAAGTTATTCAAAGACTTCTATCTAATTTTCTTTTTAAAATTTCTTTTTATGTTTTATTTTTTAGCCTTTTTTTAATTTTAGAAAAATGTTTTGTTTCTGCTGCAGACCAACGATCAAAGCGTGCACTGGACCTGTAAATAGTTAAACCCGTCTCCCAGCCTCTCCTTGGCTGTGATTGGCTGTGTGCTGCGCCAGTCAGAGATTAACGCTCCAGTAACGTGCAGTTAAAGGTAGTCAGTCTGTTTGTAGGTCTATGTCTGACTGGTTGAAATCCAACTCCTTGTTTGACATTAAATAAAGCAAGCAGAGCAGGGAGGTTGTGGGTTTGACTCCCATGGGGACATTTTGGGATGTGGTTTATGAGAAATGTTTGCACATGCAAGGTTGAAGATGTCTCTAAAGTTTCTCCAGAGGGTGTTTGACTCTGTGTCCTTGTGATGGACTGACAACCTGTCAAGATGGGGCCCCGCCCTCTCACCCAGGGACCAATGAGAATTGACACCAGCCTCGTGACCGAATGGGAAAAGTAAAACATCTGAGATCCGAGTAGAAGGATTAAATTTAAACCCTTTTTCAACCTGAAGTTGTTCAGTTCATCAGTTATTAGTTGGTGAAGCTGAGGGACCTGTCATGAAGTTTGACACATTCTGTTGTTCCTCGCCATTCTCAGCCTCCGATTCACTAATTAGGCAAAGCGGTGCCCAGTGGCGTGTCCAGATCTTTTAAAATGGGGTGGCCCAGGTGAGGCACCGCTTTGTGCATGGGTGGCACCAATGGTTATGCTTTTTTTGTTTTACCCCCAAGCCTTTTGCGGATAATGAAAAGCCTATTTAAAAGTAAATTAATGTGGTGGCACCTGCGGTAGCCAATCAGATTCCAAGGGTGGCATGTGCCACCCCAGGCCACTCCCTGGACACGCCCCTGGCGGCACCTCACATCTGATGAACACGGCCGACTCTGCCTCATCTCCTCAGCCCCTTCTCGGCTTTCCAGCTTTTCTGTGTTACCTGATTTCATCCCAGTCATGAACCCTACTGACCTCTGACCTTTTTGGGTGCTGATGATTGAGGATAACCAAGCTTTCTGTCTCATCCCAGTCAGACCTCTGCATCCTGACCTTTCTCTCTGAAGGCGGACACACCACGGGCTTAATGAACGTGACCTCATCTCTTTAGTCTGTTAGCTGTTATGACCTGATCCTTCTCCTTAGCTTCAGGTCACCGGTAAATAGTTATTAATCATAAAGATACAAAGCTGGAATCTTTATTACTTAATGAATCGTTAGACGGGAGACAGCTGGGAAGTGTGGTCCTACCTGCTTCAGAGTTGTGTTTCGGAGTGCCTGGACTCGAACCACCAGGTCTTTGGAGCAACGTGCAGCCCCCACAGCAAAGAGGCACAGAGACCAGAGGAACACGGTGGCGAGAGCTGACCTGGCTCTCAGCATGGCACGAGCAGCAGAACCATCATCCGGGTCACGGCATCCTCTCTCACCTCATCTTGCTCACCACGGTTTACAGCTGGGCGGGACCAGAGGTCTTGTTCAAGATCCAAATCAGATGCTTCGGTAATCCAACAAAGAGCCGCGTCTGGTTCCAGTCCAGCTGGGAGGTTCTGCCTCCAGCTGGGCCTTGTGGAGCCGATGGACCTCGGAGGAGAAAGCTTTGAAGTATTCCTGAAAGGCTTCAAAAACGTTTGCTCCTTCAAACTCTGCAGCTGCAGACTTCAGAGGAAAATACAAAGAATGATCGCCGAACCAGAACCAGGACCAGGACCAGAGTCTGTCTCTGACTCAACTAGTTAAGGTGTTCAGCCAGAAGCTGCTGAAGCGGGAAGCCGTCGTCGTCTCCATGTGGTCTCAGCAGACAGATGGACAGGAGACACGCGTTCTGCTCCTCTCTCCTCTTTCACTCTGTCACTCCTCCTTCCAGTGCTCCTCAGTTTTTACTGCCTCACTCCTCCCACACCCCCACCCTCCTCCTTCAGTCAGACACTCACTTTTGTCATTTCCTGTCTCTCCCCCCAACTTTCTCCAGTCTGCTCCTCCTGACTTCGTCCTGCAGAGGAACAGATTCCACCTCATTAACAAAACAATTACTCCTGAGAATTTCATCTCGTCAGCAGCTGCTCAGATTGAGGCTGTGGGCTTCCAAGGCAGATCTCCTCAGAGCTCAGCTCTCATCCATGAGGCGTCCCACACACCTGGTTTGAGTTGAACTTGCTGTTACCTGCTGATGTTGGGAAGTCAGAGAGAGGTCGATGGTTTGAACCCGTCCAGCAGCAGAAATAATGTAAGCGTGTTTCACTTCAGACAGTTCGGATGTCTGTTCCGGTCTGGATTTGACTGCAAACAGGAACATCAAAGATCCATCGAGTATTTGTTGTTTTAATCTGCTCCACACGCGGTGGAAAAGAGGTTGTGCAATCAGCATCTCAACCTTGGTCTTGGAGTTGCATAAGTCTGGCGACTGAACTTCCACGACCCTTGACCTTTAACCTGCTAACATGTAGAGTCTGACAAGGAGCTCTTGCCTTTTTGTGTGATTTCTCTGAAGGTTGACCTCTGACCTCAGGTAAGCCTGCTGGGGCTGTCTTGTGTGGTGTCGTCAGTCGCCTACACCAACGCATTCAAGCCGTCGGTTCAGATCAAACATTTCAGCGTTCCACGAACACCAGCTAGCTGCAGTCTGCAGGTGCGAGTCCACAACGCTTAAACTGACTCAGAAACGCTGATGTCAGAGGTCAGAGTCACAAAACAACCTCAACCAGCAGCTGAATGAGCGCTTCAGGTTGTGTGCTGTTGTGCGTCTGTGATCAGTGGGAATCGTGACGATCAGAGATCTGACGGGAAGCAGGGGGTAAAGTCTGACACAGATAAGACAAGCATGTGGTTTAACTTCACACTTTTATTTTTCCACCGACTCTCCCAAACTTATCAGATAAAGACGATCTAGATTTCCTTTTTGTTTTATTACTAGTGTCCTGTTCCACTCCTGTTTGTCCATCAGCGCCCAGCAGAAACCTGTCCCCTCCTGGCTTCACTCTCATCCCCCACCTTTATGTTCAAGGCTCCAATAAACCCACAGGTTAGCAGCCGGTATGTGATTATGTTGACTCGGTAGTCGTCGCAGAACCACTTTAAAGGATGTATTTCATTTAAATTAGATATGGTAAATGGCCTGTAGTCTAAAGGCCTAGAACCCCCCAAGGTGCTTTACAACCAAGCCCCCACAATGTGGGTGAAAAATTGAAGCAAACGCGGAAGTGAAATAAATTGCAGTTCCACCCTCATCCACTAGGGGCTGGTGTCAGAAGCGAGCAAATCCTCATTGACTCCCATGTTAAAAATACCAATTTCACAGCAGAAATAAACATGTTTACAGCCTGGTACCAGAACATGTTTTTGGGTTAAATGATCTAGTTTACACTCATGACAACTCTGAGGGGGGTGAATTTTTTTCTCACTCTTCTGTTTAAGTGTATTAAAAGCCTAAAATTCTGAATAATTAATGAGCATCAGACCCACGTGACCACAGAGCTAGCTCCGTGGAAAGGCCTCAGTAGAGCCTCGGTCTGGCCTGGAAACTGTTCCGGGAGTCTCTGTGTTTGTGTATTCTTGTTTGGATATTATTTGTGCAATTGTTGGACAAAATGACTTGCTGTGGCATTAATTGCACTAATAGAGCGTCCAAGGAGTCTCCACTTCATTTTTTCGGTAAGTAAAATTATATTTATGTATTTTAGGTCACTGCCGAGCTGAGCTTAGATTTTAACATGTACTGTTTAACCATGAAATTTAAATGTAATAGGGTAAAACCCAGTGCATTTAACATAATGCTGCACTTTAGAAAATGGGTTGAAATATAACATGTTGGTGGAGCTGGGTTCCCACTATCGGCTTGTGGAGCTCCCGGGAGACCGATGTTTTCCACCCGTTCTCCCCTCCCCGCAGCTCGGTGCATCTCTGTCTGATCGCGACTTCTTTCTGCTGCGCAGGCTGCCGGCTTGTGGAGCTCTGGGATGGAAATCCTTCCACCCGGTTCTCCCCAGCGGCAGCTCTGCGCATCTCAGATCGCAGCGGCGCTTGTCTGCTGCGCGGGCTGCCGGCTTTCAGCAGCTTTCGGGAGACCTCTGTGTTCCACCCAGTTTTACCCAGCGGTCAGCCCGGCGTATCTCTGACTCAGAAGCTCTGGTGTTGTGCACAGTTAACTCCGGTTGTAGCTAGGTTGCTACCTCCGTTAGCTTAGCTCCCATCTCCGCGTTAGCTTTGGGTTAGCTTCAGGTTAGCTTGTAGCTAGCTCGACCGGGTGTCGTCAGTTGATCCCAGCCTTACAGCCCCACCCTCAGCTCCACCTCTCTTGCCTTTTGTGGAATTGTCTGGGCTTGACGGAACCTGTGGCACGGTCAAAATGGCGGTGGTGGCCACCTCCCATTTTAGCACAAAAACATATTATTGGAGTCCATGGAAACCCATTGTCCATATATGTATATGTTTACAACACTACAGTCATTCACCCATTCTTAGACGGGTGGAGATAAGCTATAATGTAGCTGCAGCTGCCCCGAGGGGCACTGACTGAGGCAATTTAAATCAGACAAACCTTTTGAAACAAAAGCTGATCTGAGATCTTAATATGAGAACTGAAACAGGACAAACAGTCGAGTGGAGACGGGATCAGAAACAGCATAAAAACACAAAGATGCCAGTTTGGTCTGAAGTTAGCTGAGAACTACCAGACACGTCATGTCCAAGACACACACACACGCCCACACGCACACACACACACACACACACACACACACACACGCACGCACGCACGCACGCACACACACACACACACACACACAAGGACGCTGTGCAAAAATACCAGCATGACTTTAAGGATACGAAGTGCCAAAGGAGAACAAGAACAACTTCATAAATAAAAAACAAAATAAAAAAGGAATAATACAGATTATTACTGACCACCACAGTTCAACACTGGCCTCGCTGAAAGTCAAACTCAGACACTTTACACGGATCTCAGCCTGAAACCAGAACTTCAGCTCTTTAAAATAATAAAAGTTAGAAAATCTCAAAAGCTGATTTGACCTCTGAGAAGTCGTCAGATCTACAGATAAAAAGTCAACCTCCAACTGCCAAAGTGTCAAACTTCATGTCCAGCTGTCATCTGTAGTTTGGATTGTCCTGGAATCATCTCTGCTTCATCCTGGTGCTATTCTGGAATAATCCTGGGATTGTAAAGTCAGACTGCATCAGCAGCACTTCTCATGTGTGATTCTTGTTGCACCCTGACACCTTGAGAGTTTATGGTCCAATCCAGAGAGGGACCAGATCCAGAACATCTGGACCAGAAGCTACAGGAACTCCGTTAGCTCTTCTCTTTTAACGCCTCATCAGAACATCTTCCACGATGTTGCTCTTCCCTTCATAGCTGGTTATAGCTCTGAGGAACCGGGGAAAGTCCATTGATGCTAACTCTCCTTGCCACCTGTCCTGGTCCTGGAGGAACAGCCCCCCCCTGCAGGGTCTGGGTCAGGCTAACCTGGGCGGTGCTGAAGGACGTTATTCGTCCACTTCCAGCAATCTGTAGGTTGACTGTGGTGGCGTAGCTGGCCTTCTGGTTCCCAAGTCTGGTAGGAGATGAAAGGCCAGAGGGCAGAGGCGATGACCTCAGGGGTGCAGGGGAGGAGACTGGGGAGGTGGTTTGTCTCTGGACTTGAATTTGATTGTGCCGGTATGGGTTTGGTGGAGGAGAGGTCATTCCTGAGGAGGAGAAAACCAGGCACGAAGAGGACATGTTCTGTCTCTGGGAGGGCCGGCCTACATAAGCACAGATCAGCTGACTGCGGCAGCTACCCTCCTCCAGTTCTGAGGCCCCCCACTCGTTCTGGCTATTCGATGGCCCGGGGGAGGCGATGAAGCGCAGTGAGGAGAGAGGAGGAGGAGAGGAGGCAATGATGGTGGACGTAGCATCTGTTTCGGTTCCATTGTACGGGTTTGAAAGCTCAGACCAGGGAATACTGCTGTGATGCTGCCCACCATGAGAGCCCTTAGCAGGGCTAAACCTGCTGGGTGAAACTAGGGATCGAATCCCAGCTCCAGGACTGAGACAGGAAGGGGAACTGGTGCGTGAGGACCACCCACTAGTTGGACAGGACTCGTGAGGATCACAACATTCTTGGACACTGCTGCTGCTAAAGCCGAGGGATCTTCTGCGTCTGTCTGCCAAGGAATGACTGATTCCACTCCCACTGCTCTGGGCTGCACTTGAAGGTCTGTCGGCAAGGTTGGAAGAAAGGGACCTACGGAGGGTTTGGGAGGGAAGAGGACAGGATCCTGAATTTAAACTCCTCCCTGGGACAAAAGAGGAGGAGGGAGAACTGTGGAAGGGGTAAACATCTTGTGTTGGTGATCTTAAAGCTGAAGGATAAGATGGAGAGGAGGGCGCGCACCGAGGGTTCCTAGGCTGAGGAGTTGCCACATTATTGGTCCAGGCTGGGACACCTATGGGGGGAGGGGAAAGGGTCCGAGGGCTCAAACAGAAAGAAGAATCCCCAAATGCTGAACCTACTGAAGAAGCTCTGGGCAAGTCCATGTGAAGATCTGAGTGGTTGTGGGAACCTCCTACCCGGGTGCTGCGAGGGTGGGGGGGTTTGTTTGCCATGGGGGAGGAGTAATTATGTTGAGGAGGTGGAGAACAGGGTGTGAAAAATGATGCTGGGGTAGGAGATGGAGACGGGGACTGGACCCGTGAGCTGGGTTCAGACGCAGAAAAAGGCTGAGCTACGCGGTTGTGTGATCCTGACCAGAGAGCCGTGTGCTTCGGGGTTGTTAGCATAGCGTCGCCGTCGGCCAGAGACCAGCCAACGTCGCTGACTGCACCTCTGGTGGCTGCTGAAGCCTTGTTATTGCTGTTGTTCCTGTTGCCATTCTTTAATGGATCTGTTTTTGAGTGAAGGAATGGTGGACGAGGGGAAGGAGGTGAAGAGTAGAAACGCTGATGAAGACTTGCAGATGGAGAAGGAGGGAAATGGGGAACAGAAGGGGAATGGACCAAGGAAGGAGATGGACACAAGGATCGCAGAGAGGATGGGGGACAACTGGAATGTTGGTAGCTATCGTTACTGACTCCCAGTTGGGAATAGGCAGGAGCACTGGGGTCCTGTCGAGATGGGCAGGGTTTGGGAAAAGGGGAGCACCGTTGCAGATGAGGAGTAGGGGTGGGTGTGGCTTGTTGCCGTGCTGTGTGTTTAGCCATGCTTTGACTGATAGACTGACTTATACAGGAGGCTGCTAAAGACCTGGTGAATGCAGAAGCAACTGAGGAGGAACACGGTGGAGAACAGAGGGAAGAGGGGGGCACTTGGGAGGCGTCGCGGTCGGTTCTTGATGAAGACGAGCGCCTTCCAGATGAAGGCACGTCTGTGGAGGAGCAAGAAGAACGTGACGGTGATAAACAGGACAGGGCCTTGGAGGGGAAGCCTGCAGGAGACACAGGGGTCGGAGAGGATGCTGGGATGACCCTGAAATGTGAGGAGCAGGGAGGTGATGGGACAGAGGAGGTAGGAGGAGATCGAAGAGGAGAGGAGGAGTGGTCCTTGAAGCTGGGTCTGAAAGTGACAGGGGTTGATGTGTGGGAGCTGGATCCTGAGACCGGCTGGTCTGGCCTCCTGGAGAAAAAACAAACAAAATCTAAGTTAAAGCTGCAGTGACTTTTAAACACAAACTCTCACCCCTCCCATCTGTTATAATCCCTAGGCCACGCCCCCGATACAGGACTGCACATTGCCAGAAGAAACGAGAGAGCGCTAAACACCTGTCGCCGTTTTAGGTCCAAAAGTCTCTTGTTGTCCGTGACTTCAAACGGTGTTTTTCTTTTTGGGACTCTGGTAGTTTATCCCAAGGCTGAAGTGGTAGCAGCCGGCTGTTTCTCCTCCTCTGATATTATTGAGTGGAGAACGTCTCACGCCAGTGGTGTTCTGGTTATAAATATGTGAGTGTGTGACGAGTGGAGGACCTGGAGAATCGTGGAAGTGCGGAGGTTCAGTGAGACTGACAACTGGTTCAATCATTGGTTTGGTCTGAGCACCCTCCTCACCTGTTTAGAAAACACCTTTTTTATAATCTCCATAATAAATCCATAGCTATACTATGTTAGAACGTTGTTAAGAGGCACAAAAAACTGTTTGTAGCTTCAAGTTTTTGAGCAGCAGGTCGAGCTTCTGCAGAACAATTTGTCTCAAACTCAAGATAAACATTATTTCCCCACAATATCAATATATTCAAGTTCAAGTTTATTTATAAAGCGCCAAATCAGGACAAGAGTCGTCTCAAGGACCTTCGCACAGTAAACATTCCAATACAGGTCAGGGGCCTCATTTATCAAGCTTGCTTACGCACAAAACGGGGTTGGAAAACTGCGTAAGCAACTTCCCACGCAAACTTTGGGATTTATGAAAGAAAACTTAGCGGAAAAATGTGCGCAACTTTAAGTTGACTAAGGACCTGACTTACACACATGTTGGACATGGAGAGCACCTGCAGTGCTGCTGCTGAGAAGATACAATTATGAAATCCTGCAGCATTATCACTTGTACCGCTTCATTTTCACACAGAAGACCCCCCACACACACATGCGCGTGCACACACACCCACGCGCACACGCACACACACACACTCACACACACACACACACACACACACACACACACACACAGCCTGAAGCGCAGAATACGGAATGCAGAATATCAGCGGGGGACAGATTGAGACAGAACATCATGCGTCTGTGACAGTGTGTGTCCTGTCATTGTGACCCGATTGATCATGTGCCCTGGCTACTTGTACGCGGCAGATCTCTGTTTGGCTGACTGGTTAGCGTGCGTGACTTTCACTTGGGAGTCTGGGGATTGAATCCCTATTGGACTATTTTTAATATCCGCCACAGATCTCTCAGAAAAACCCAACATTGACGGCTTCAGCAACGCCGTGCCACTCGGTGGATTTTCTCTTATTTGTTTTGCAAAAGCACTTCCTGTCATTTCTCCACCTCACCCACAAGTACCAACTTCTGCTTCTGTGAAATAGCGCTTCCTTGATCTGCCTTGATCTACGGTCGCCATGTCATTGGCGGAGCGCTGCAACAGCCGGCTTATGTATATGCATGAGATCCACAAGGCACTTTGCATTGACTATATATGGCAGTAAGTGGGCGTGGTGAGGGCGGGATGTGACTAAAATGCAGCTGAGAACCTTTCTAGATAGTTTATGATTTATGAAGCGGAGGTTGCGTGCAGCTGTGCGTACTCCATGTTTGATAGATCACAAACCTACTTGGCGTGAGTACATTTTTTTTGCTGAGCTTAAGTACAGTTATAGTAAGGATTCTACCAATGTTTGATAAATGAGACCACAGTTCATTAAGCCAATCAGAAAAAAGTTTCCTATATAAGGAACCCAGCAGGTTGCATCGAGTCACTGACTAGTGTCAGAGTCTTTACAGCAATCCTCATACTAAGCAAGCATGCAGCAACAGTAGAGAGGAAAACTCCCTTTTAACAGGAAGAAACCTCCAGAGGATCCTGTCAGTACATTATATTCTTCATTACCTTCTGGTTGCTGTAAACCAAACTAAGAACATAAAGATTTCAGTTTTGTTTGGAATTTGGTTTCAGGGCTGAAATCATTTCAGTTAAAAGCATTTGCTGGTGCCTCTAGAAGGTTCTTCAGAATTTTTCAGGAGTGTTTTTCTACCGTCTGCCTTTAAAGCAAATGAAATCTCCTACATTGGATCTGGACCAGTCTTCACATCCTGCTTTGGGTTTTGAGATGAAATTCACACCATGTGGCTTTCACGTTGCAGTAAATCAAAACCAGAACTCTGTTTATGTCTGACTGCGGCTTTGTGATTTCCAAAACCAAACGTTTCTCTGGTTCTGTTGTTTTTGCTTTCGGCTGAACCTGCAAGGCAGCACACGTGCATGGCGTTGCTTGAGCCAGATCTTCTGCTGGCAATGAGCCAAGGACGCAGCAGCAGCGTTGTTAGCAGGACTACAAAGCCAGCAAATCATCCCCATATCAACTAAACAGCCTGGGTTTACCTTTATCTTTAAAACAATAAAGACAACACAAGCAACACCTTCCCTTCATAACACAGACACAGGAAACGCTGCAGCCAGGTTCCAGACCAGCTCGGACAGACGTTGTCATGTCATACCTTCACTGGATCCCCATAGGTGAGTTTTAATGTTCTGACCATCGTCTATAAAGCTCTAGATGATCAAGCCCCTCCGTACCTATCTGAGTTGATCACCCCCCCCCTCCCTCGCATATCTTAAGATCACCTGCTATTATGTACCCCCAAAATGAAATTTTGCAGCCCCAAACACAGGAACACAATCCCTCGCTCAGCGAGGCCGGCTCCCTTCCTTGCTTGGTTTAAATCAGTACTGAGGTCCTACTTTTATCAGGCTTCTGGTGGGCGGCTACCTTCTTGTTTTTATATGTGAGTTTTATTCCTATGCTTTGCCTCTACTTTTAGGCGATTTGTCCTTTTAACATTATAGTCTGCATTTTATGCTGCCTCTATTTTAATGTAGTTTTACTAGTATAATGATCTTAAGTTTCTCTGGTGCAATGTTTATATCTGTACCCATTTTTGCTTGCCTCTCTTCTTGTGCAGCACTTTGGTCAGCTGTCATGCAGACTTTTAAATGTGCTTCAGACATAAAGCTGGTATGGTATGGTATGGTAAGGACTGGATTGGTATGGTATGGTATGGATTGGATTGGTATGGTATGGATTGGTGTGGTATGGATTGGTTTGGTATGGTATGGTTATGGTATGGTATGGTATGGTATGGTATGGATTGGTATGGTATGGCATGGTATGGTTATGGTGTGGTATGGTATGGTTATGGTATGGTATGGATTGGTATGGTATGGTATGGTATGGGTATGGTATGGTATGGTATGGTATGGATTGGATTGGTATGGTATGGTATGGATTGGTGTGGTATGGATTGGTATGGTATGGTATGGTTGTGGTATGGATTGGTATGGTATGGTATGGATTGGTATGGTATGGTATGGGGATGGTATGGTATGGATTGGTATGGTATGGTATGGTTATGGTATGGTATGGATTGGCATGGTATGGTATGGATTGGTATGGTATGGATTGGTATGGTATGGTAAGGTTTGGTTTGGTTTGGTATGGTATGGTATGGTTTGGTATGGTATGGTATTTTATGGTATGGATTGGTATGGTATGGATTGGTATGGTATGGTATGGTATGGTATGGTAAGGTTTGGTTTGGTTTGGTATGGTATGGTATGGTATGGTATTTTATGGTATGGATTGGTATGGTATGGATTGGTATGGTATGGATTGGTATGGTATGGTATGGCTATGTATGGTATGGATTGGTATGGTATGGTATGGTTTGGTTTGGTATGGTATGGTATGGTATGGTATTTTATGGTATGGATTGGTATGGTATGGATTGGTATGGTATGGATTGGTATGGTATGGATTGGTATGGTATGGTATGGTTATGGTATGGTATGGATTGGTATGGTATGGTATGGTATGGTAAGGTTTGGTTTGGTTTGGTTTGGTATGGTATGGTATGGTATGGTATGGTTTGGTATGGTATGGCATTTTATGGTATGGATTGGTATGGTATGGATTGGTATGGTATGGTATGGTATGGTATGGTTTGGTTTGGTATGGTAAGGTTTGGTTTGGTATGGTATGGTATGGTATGGTATGGATAGGTATGGTATGGATTGGTATGGTATGGGTATGGTATGGTATGGATTGGATTGGTATGGTATGGATTGGTGTGGTATGGATTGGTATGGTATGGTTATGGTATGGGTATGGTATGGTATGGATTGGATTGGTATGGTATGGATTGGTGTGGTATGGATTGGTATGGTATGGTTATGGTATGGATTGGTATGGTATGGTATGGTATGGTTATGGTATGGATTGGTATGGTATGGTATGGTTATGGTATGGTATGGTATGTTATGGTATGGTATGGATTGGTATGGTATGGTATGGTATGGTATGGTATGGTATGGTATGGATTGGTATGGTATGGTATGGATAGGTATGGTATGGATTGGTATGGTATGGGTATGGTATGGTATGGTATGGTATGGATTGGATTGGTATGGTATGGATTGGTGTGGTATGGATTGGTATGGTATGGTTATGGTATGGGTATGGTATGGTATGGTATGGATTGGATTGGTATGGTATGGATTGGTGTGGTATGGATTGGTATGGTATGGTTATGGTATGGATTGGTATGGTATGGTATGGTATGGTATGGTGTGGTTATGGTATGGATTGGTATGGTATGGTATGGTATGGTATGGTTATGGTATGGATTGGTATGGTATGGTATGGTTATGGTATGGATTGGTATGGTATGGTATGGTATGGTATGGTATGGTATGTTATGGTATGGTATGGATTGGTATGGTATGGTATGGTTATGGTATGGTATGGATTGGTATGGTATGGTATGGTTATGGTATGGATTGGTATGGTATGGTATGGTATGTTATGGTATGGTATGGATTGGTATGGTATGGTATGGTATGGTTATGGTATGGTATTGGTATGGTATGGTATGGTTTGGTATGGTATGGTATGGTATGGATTGGTATGGTATGGTATGGTATGGTATGGATTGGTATGGTATGGTATGGGTATGGTATGGATTGGATTGGTATGGTATGGATTGGTGTGGTATGGATTGGTATGGTATGGTATGGTATGGTTATGGTATGGAATGGATTGGTATGGTATGGTATGGTATGGATTGGTATGGTATGGTATGGTATGGTATGGATTGGTATGGTATGGTATGGGTATGGTATGGTATGGATTGGATTGGTATGGTATGGATTGGTGTGGTATGGATTGGTATGGTATGGTATGGTTATGGTATGGAATGGATTGGTATGGTATGGTATGGTTATGGTATGGGTATGGGTATGGTATGGTATGGATTGGTATGGTATGGTTTGGTATGGTATGGTATGGTATGGATTGGTATGGTATGGTTTGGTATGGTATGGTATGGTATGGATTGGTATGGTATGGTATGGTATGGTATGGTATGGTATGGATTGGTATGGTATGGATTGGTATGGTATGGTTTTACAGCTCTAAAGAATACTTTTAACAGAAGTTGGACACAGTTTGGTCCCATGCAAGGTTAAATGAGCCAATGAGATTCGGACAGGATCTTGGCTCAGTTGTGTTTCTGTGGATGGAAAAACTACAAACTGCTACTCTTCAACATCTGGCTTCAACTTCATTAAATACTTCTGAAAACATTTTCCCTTTCAGCTCCAAACCAGAAGCTATTAGGCAACCTTGTTGTGTCAGAACAAAAATGTTTCTTCCAAGTTTTGTACAAACATCAGTTCAGACTAATAAATATTTTATAAAGAGCTGAAATGAAGACAACATTGTTTTGGTTTCTAATCCATATGGAGACAAAGGTTAAAACAGATGATCCCAAAATCCACCAATATTCCTCTCGTTTGAACCGACTAAGGTTCCGTTAGTCCGGGATAAACACTGCAGCTATTCAATCAACCTCCAGTGTGCATGTTTAGTTATGTTTGATTAAAACCAGTCCCTGCATTGTTTTTACACACACCTGATGTCATCCTCAGACGTGCTGCTGGAGATCCAGGAAACAGCTGAGGCCTGCTTGCCCTGAGTGGTCGGCAGGTCCACTGGCCTCAAGCTGGTGAATGTTGGGAGGAAGTCCGCAGATGATGAAGGGCAGGGATCCGTGGATACTGAACTTTGAACTGATATCCATGGACTAGATGATTCCTGAGCCTGTGGGGGGTCAGAGGTCATATGCAGACTCATTGGAGGTAGAATAGGAAGATCTCCTGGAACTAGATCTTCTGCACAGATCATTGAAGGATCACCATCATTTGAGTGTTTCTTTGATCTCCCAGTGGCCTGTTCCTCAACCAGTACTTCCTGTTTGATCAGTTCTACGCTCATTCCTGGTGGAGACATCCAAGTGCTGCTGTACTCTGATTGGGCTTGCCTCAACAGTTGTCTTGAGGCTTCTTCTCCATTAGTTGCATCCATCCAAAGTAACGATCCAGATCCTGGACTACCAGTCATCATGTCAGAGAGATCCTTGTCATTGTTGAGTCTAGAGTAAATGCCTTCTGGCTCCTGCTGATCTGGTTTTTGTTCCACGACTGCTGAATCCAGCTGATGTTTGTCGCCTGAGCCTCGGTGACCCTGGCGCTGAAGTGTGCTGAGAGCGGACGGACTTGGCTCTGCTGGAACTGGATGGGCGCCTATAGATGTTGAATCTTCTCCAACTGAGTAAACACAGAGTTCTTCATTGAGCTCCAAACTGTAAATAAAAGCAAATCAAGTTAAAGAGACACTTCAACAGTTATGATAGCAACAGCTTTTCATGGCTGTTCATGACATCATCTTTTCTAAAAGCTCAACTCACTCATCTGACTTCGGCGGCTCTTCTGAGCAAACAGCTCGGCCTGGTTCTGCAGAAGACTCTCTAAGCTCTGAGCTTCCCAGGACTGTGGGTGGTGCTGAGAAGGGGGTATTGGTGGAACAGAACCAACCGGACTCCTGAGTCTCAGCCTTTGTTCTGCTTTGATGGGGTGTTTCTGCAGATGGTCCTGGATTAGTGGTGCGGTGGCTCTGAGCTTCACTCTGTGAGCAGTTGCTTGATGGAGAAGATGGAGCTTCTTGTGATGTGGCGGGTTGACCACTTGAATAGAAGCCCAGGCTGGAGTCTTTGGTCAAGGCTGAGATGAAGTCTCTGGGTCTGGACAGGTTAAATCCACTCCCCCGGGGACAGGTGGGGCTTATGAAGTCACACAGCAGAGGCTCATGGGGGGACACCACCTTCTCTTGGAGATCTACAAACAAATAGAAGAAAATATTAATACTCATAACTTGTGCATTAGTTTGGTGATGGTCAGAAGACCTGAGCCCACCATCCGTCTTGATCCATCCCTCTTCCTGGGTTCTTTGAATTTGCCAGGTCTGGTTCTGACTGTCAGGTCCACCTAGTTGCTGACTGGTTTGGGGCTCAGGTTTGGACTGACTGAGGTCCATTTCAGGCTGCGCAGAGCTTTTGTTTTGGTTTCCAGTTGAAGTTCTTGACAGTCTTGTAGAAGCCCACAGCTGGCTCCGTACAGAGCTGGCTCGTTTATGATGCAGTGGGACCTTCATGGTGCTGGCTTTGGCAGTGTACATCCGGGCCAGGGTCTGGACTTTGCTTAGAATACGTTCCGAGTTCTCCATCAGGACTGGGTCTACCACCGGGTTTGCCTCAAATAACCCGATTCCGGTGACGTCAGACGCCATGCCCTCGAACAACGCTCGGTTAGCAGTGACGATCCGGGAGTGGCGGGACCATCGGCCCACTTTTATCTGACTGGGGAACCCCTCGAGGTTCCTTTTGGACTTTGCCTGGTCTCCATTTTTGGTTTTAGACAAAGACGACACATCTTTGTCCTCTTTGGTGTTTTGATGCTGTTCTTCTCGAGGCTGGTGTGTAGGGGGTTCTGCTGGGCTCATGTTTGGTTCTGCTTGCTTAGGGTCATGATCTTTGATGTTAGTCTGACTTACAGCTGTGGTGTTTTCTTCTTCAATATCCTGGTGTTCAGAAACAGATGACTTTTCCTCTTCCGCTGACTCTCCATCATGCTGCTCAGAACCTACAAGAGTCTCCCCCTCCTCTGTTTCCTCTACACCTTCATCCAAATATCCCTCACAGACATTCCCATTCCCATCTTGAATCCCAATCTCCTGCTCAACAAGCAGGTTTGGATTTGGATCACTTTGGTTTGGAGAGTCCGTGGCTTCTATCACATCAGAGACTATAGACTCAGCAGGAGCAGAAGGAAGAAAGCCGACTGGTTTATCTTCATCGGGGTTTGATTCTGCTGGAGGAGATGTTGGCGCAGCTAAGGAACTGGACTCTGCCTCTACCTCCATCTTGTGTGGGGACTGAGGACTTGTCGGCTCCTCTGGGTGTTCTCCCACACTGAAGCGTGATACTGACTCTTTCACCAAACCAGATGGGATTTGTGAGAAACTGTTTCTTCTTCTTGACAGCTCTCCCTCTCCTGGCTCTTCCTCCTCCACCTCCTCCTCCTCCTCCACCTTGTCCTCTTCAGTCTCTGCTGCAGCCTCATAATAACTTCTGATCTTTTCAATGATCTTCTGGTCTCTCTTGGTGAAGTGGGAGCTTCTTTTAAGAGGCTGACACTTCTGGCTGGGGGGAGTGAGGCCTGGACTTTGGGAAGAGTGGGTGAACTCTTGGTCAGCCTCAGTTTTGGGCGAGTCACAGCTGATCTCTGCAATTTTCTCTGAAGGGATAGAGGGATGGAGGATTGTTGGTGTTGATGGATCAAGAGCTCCGACATCTTCTGTGTCACATGCGTGCGTCTCAGCTTTATCTTCTTCATCCTCATCTTGTGTCTTCTCTGCTGGACTTGATGCTTCTGGAAACTCTTGATCTTTGTTTGTTACTGCCGGATTTTCACTGGGTTGATTCTGAAGGCTGGTGTCGTTCTCCAGTTCTCGTTCCTGCTGAGATGATGGTCTTTGTTCTGGACTGGAGGAGATTGGTGGTAGCGGGCAGGAGAAGTTGGTTCTGTTTGACGGAGACTTGGTTTCACTGAGCTGATCCTGGGTTTGCTCCTGGAGAGGAAGTGAGAATATGTTGAAATGATAAATTCCTGCTATAGACATGTGGAGATGATGGTATCTAACCATGGATGTGGTTCTTTCTCTGGTTCTGCTCTGGTTAATGAACTCCAGGATCTCCTCAGTTATGGACAAAGCAGGAGGAGGGCTGAGGGGGTTCAACTCCTCGTCGTCCTCTTCCTCCTAATTTAAACAAAAAGAAAATATCTGAATGCAAGAAAATAACCGAGTGAAAAATGTTCATAATAATGAGAGTTACACAAACCTTAATAAAGATCAACTGAATGAATGTTTTTTCTTTTCCCTGTTGGAACCGTTTTAGCTCCGATCCCTTCAGATCGCTGAATCTCACATTTAAAAGGGGACAATACAATCTTCATATATGGGGGCTCATCCGGGATAGTGTGAAAAATATTTAAAGGGACTTTACGGACTTTTGAATTTTTATGCTCGCGATTGCCCCCTCAGGCAAAAAGCGTAACGACAGCTTCATTAGTAGGCTCGTGCACGAGGAGCGCATACTGTACGTGCACACTCCTTAATGAAAATTACAGCTGAGACAGTCCCGTGTGTGTGTGTGTGTGTGTGTGTGTGTGTGTGTGTGTGTGTGTGTGTGTGTGTGTGTGTGTGTGTGTGTGTGTGTGTGTGGCCCGGAGGACAGAGGACAGGAGAACGCGCAGCTAATCAATTAAATAATTTGGTTCTGTACCTTTCTCTTCAGCACAGCCGACAAAGGTTTATGATGGGTCAGTCCTCCTGCATGCTCAGATCATTCCCTTCCCTTGCTTGAAAAATTGTTCCAAAATGAAAGTTGAACCCACATCTTTTCTATCTGCGAATTCAATGCCGTTCGGCGAGTCTCAAATAAAAATTTGGGCATCTTACTGTAAAAAAATATACCATTAATGTAAAAAAGAAACTCTAAATGAACTATGTTCACATCCAGAATCGAGCTTGGGTTCTTCTGCATGGGAGACAGACATCTTACAAGGTGAGCTAAACTCTAGTAACATTCATGTTATCTGTAACATTTATATCCTTGATGACAGCTGAAACAACGTTCAAAGAACGGTTCGGAGTGAAAATGGCTATTTTGTTGCTAATTAGCAGGAAATATCTAGAAGAAAGTTCTACAGAAAGTAGCTAAGGGTCCTCAGAAATGTAGCTAGCTTTGTCACTAGGCGTTAGGAACAGCGACAAAGTGGCACTGCCTCTCTCTCTGCTGCTAAAGCTACGAACGGCAAATGCTACGGGCTATGTCTGAGCGTGAACGCGCATGAAGCAGCCTGCTCGACCTGAGCATCTCTCTTTTTCTGTGATTTTACAGAAAAACAGGCAATCACAGTAAAAATGCCAGGGCTCATTCTACAGGACCAGGGCATTGCAGGAGAATGTATGAAGAAGACATTTATTATTTCTACACGTTTTGGCTGTCACACTTCCATAACGTCCCTTTAAAGAACTGACAAATTTTGTATGTACATTTTTTCTACAGATAGACCTAAAGCATTTGCAATCTCTTTGCAGATTCAGCAAAACTGCTTTCTCCAAAGTGGGTCCCGTGGGCTCTTTGTGGCCCTCGTAGCGATTCTGTGCAGCGCAAATCAAGACGGGCAGAATTTGTGTTTAATGTTTGTTTAAAAGTAAAATTTCCTTTTCCAATTTTTAACAAATAAAACTAAATGTTTGTGGTCTGTGATTATTTTCATCTGGGTGATTTTGGCTGCTGTCTCTACATGTTTGGACCTCCTGATCCTACTAACGTCTCATTTATCTACGGTATTATTCTGTTTTATGCGACCAACTTGCCGACCCTCTGTCCTGTGTGTTACCTCCCCACGCTGCTCTGTTCTTCGCTGCAGCGGCCTCCTCGGATCGTCTTGCTCCACGTCTACCTCTATGACGGAGGACGCCAGAGTGCTGCTGCTGCCTGCCGAGCCCAAAGCGTCTGCGGTGCAGAGCTCGCCCTCGCTGCCCGCCTGCCGCAAAACAACACCAACGTTCATCACAAACGTCTAAAAATAACCATCAGAAACAGAGACTGGTAAATTTAAAAACACCGAAGTCAAATATGCCCTGCTAATGTCACAGATGTGAATGAAATGACGAATGGATTTTTCAAACTAAGATTTAAGAAATAGGAGAGTTAGTGGGTGTGTCCGACTGTCATAACTTTAGTTTTTACACCTCTGTCAGTGCGCCCCAGGGCAGCTGTGGCTACTATGGCGCGGTATGGGGGCCAAAATTAAGACTACTGCCCAGCAGCCGGAGGCTATATAAATTCCGAGGCAAACTACTGATCTGATTAATGATAAGCTGGCGCCGGTAACTGAGAGGCTGGCGCTGCTTACCGAGGACTAGCACCTTTACCGGCGTTACTACTAGATATGCTAGGGACTAGCAACCCTCGGCTGGTCATTGACTGGTTCACACACTCCCTCTGCTGTCTATTAGCATGGATAGGCTAGCGTTAGCCTGGACGGGCTGGCATTAGCATTGGAGTGGCTTGCCATTAGCGTGCCTAGGCTGGCCACTAGCTGACTAGTGACTCTCCCAGACATGCTAATGGCTAGCCTCTCCGATGCTAATGCCAGCCTATCCATGCTTAAGGTCTGTCAAGGGGGTAGGAAATCCAGCTAGTGGCCAGCCTAGGCACGCTAATGGCAAGCCACTCCAATGCTAACACCAGCCCATCCAGGCTAACGCTAGCCTATCCATGCTAATAGACATCAGAGGGAGTGTTCGAACTAGTCAATGACCAGCCGAGGGCTGCTAGTCCCTAGCATATCTAGTAATAATGCCGGTAAAGGTGCTATTCCTCAGTAAGCAGCGCCAGCCTCTCAGTTACCGGCGCCAGCTTATCATTAATCAGATCAGTAGTTTGCTTCGGAATTTATATAGCCTCCTGCTGCTGGGCAGTAGTCTTAATTTTGGCCCCCATACCGCGCCATATGGCTACATCGTAGCTCATCACCATCAGTGTGTGAATGTGTGTGTGAATAAATGAATGATACACTGTAGTGTAAAGCGCTTTGGAGTCCTTACTCTGAGAGGCGCTATACAAGTGCGGGTCATTTATCATTTCTCCTTTTTAAATTAGCACCATGCAGTTCATAAACCTGTCTGAAGAAACCTCCAGGGCCTGGGTGTCTCGTGTTTCCAGTCTAAAATCGTGTCTAACTGAAGTTTTATTAGGTCACTGGATGATGAGCAGCTCCATGGACGTAATTTTCACTTTAGAAGTGTGTGTGTGTGTGTGTGTGTGTGTGGGGGGGGGGGGGGGGGGGGGGGGGGTTGTATCTTTACAGTATGCTCTAATGGGAAACAGGCGTCAACACAAACGTTTTTTTCCGCTTGGTCTTAGAGCTCAACCAGTGTTAATTTCATATAGCGTGATATTGTTTTTGGATGGTAAAAAGTGCAGGGGTCAAAACTTGACTTTGGAAAAAGTGTGTGTGTGTGTGTGTGTGGGGGGGGGGGGCATCTCCCCCCTGTCCCCCCCAAAAAATTACGTCCATGAGCAGCTCTCCTGGAATGCAGAAATGATCACTGGTAGAGTGGAACATCTCACCTTCAGAGCTGTCGGGTCACACCAGTGGAAACAGGACGGAGACGGGAACATGGAGGAGACAGGTGAGGGTGAGAAAAACTCAGAGACATTAAAGCTTCTCTTCTAGAGAAAGTAAAACTAAATCTTTGGGTCCAATTTTTCCACCAGTGTTGTGAGATTTAGCAGCAGCCTCGGGCAGAACCTGTAGAACCAGGGTCTCCATGTAACTTTAGGCCATTGTTTCCTGAAGTCATTTCCTTTTGGCTTCTTAATGCATAAACACACACACACACACACACACTGGTACATTCCCAAAGTAAGGAAAGGCTGGGATCATATGGTAAAACCAACATTATTTTATAATGGGAACATTTCAGACTGGAGCTGAACTTTGAACATCAACAGTGATCGCAGCTCAAGCGTGAATTCCACGTGAAAGCGGATGAACAGTTTATATGAGTTAGAAGCAGCTGCACTCAGCTGGTTGGTGGAAAGAATGGAATTTCTGTTGGAATGAGTAGGATCTCTCACCAGCGGGCTGAAACGCTGCCTCGATGTCCTTGGCCGGAGCTGGAACAGATCCATCAGAACATTGTTACAACACTTCCCCCGTTAGCCTCCAAGATCCGTTCTTAATAGCAGGACAGTGTTTCTTTGGTCAATGGAAGAAAAAAAACCCACAATGGTCACAGAGTCCGACAAAAATAATGTTAAATAAAAAATCTATGAAATTTACCCAATGAAAGTCAGGCATTGGTTTTCAACCTTCATGGAATTATTTAACAAATTCAACCCATGGAACAGGCCTGGACAAAAATGATGGGACCCCTAACCAAATCATTTGTAGCATCTTGGAGGCGCATCTCCCGCTCGTCTCTCGCAAACTCCTTCTCAGACCAGTCTCCAGTCCACTCAAAAGCAGTAAGGCCTCTCATCTTAACACAGTCTTAAGTTGTTGGCCACTAAGCCTGTCTGTTTTCCAGGCCCTGGTTGGAGCTTCGTTCTCTCTCACCTCCTTTGATGGCGCACCTTTGGTTACCCTTGTTCGTTGTATGATTGTGCATGTCTCGAATCAGGAAAATTACTCCAAACATGACACCCTGTAGATGCAGCAAAGCAGCCCCAGGACATAAAAGAGCCTCCTGCACGTTCCATAGACGTTGTTCTTTTCTTGATATGCTTCATTTTTCCATCTGTGAACATAGGTTCCATTTCTGTCTCATCTGTCCAGAGGACATCCTCCCAGAAGCCTCGTGGCTTGTTAACATGCAGTTTGGTATATTCCAGTCTGCTTTTTTATGATTTGTTTTCAACAATGGCGTCCTCCTTGGCCATCTCCCACGTAGTCCACTTTCACTCAAACGACGACGGATGGTGTGATCTGACGCTGATGTTCCCTGAGCGTGAAGTTCACCTCGGATCTCTTTAGACGTATTTCTGAGCTCCTTTGCTACAATTCGGATTCTCCGTCTCTTTGATTTGTCATTAATTTGTCCTTTGCTTTGGGTAATGACCGAAAGAACGAGATCGTGGATACAAGCGGCCAAAAAGAGTTTCCTCCGTAGGGTGGCCGGGCTCAGCCTTAGAGATGGGGTGAGGAGCTCGGACATTCGGGAGGGACTCGGAGTAGAAGCGCTGCTCCTCCGGATCGAAAGGAGCCAGTTGAGGTGGTTTGGGCATCTGGTCAGGATGCCTCCTGGACGCCTCCCTGGGGAGGTGTTTCGGGCATGTCCTGCCAGCAGGAGGCCCCCGGGTCGACCCAGGACACGTTGGAGAGGTTACATCTCCAATCTGGTCCGGGAACGCCTTGGGGTCCTGCCGGAGGAGCTGGTGGAGGTGGCCGGGGAGAGGACGGTCTGGAGCTCCCTAGTTGGGATGCTGCCCCCGCGACCTGGACCCGGATAAGCGGAGGAAGACGACGACGACGATAAATTTTTCCTCCTGCTGCCACTTCCAGGGAGATTGGCTACAGTCCCGTGGATCTTAAATCTCTGAAGAACATGTGCAGCTGTAGTCACAGGAACATCTAGCTGCTTGGAGATGGTCTTACAGCCTTTACCTTTAACATGCTTGTCTATACATTTCTTCCTAATCTCCCGAGACAACTCTTTCCTTCGCTTCCTCTGGTCCATGCTGAGTGTGGAGCACACCGTGCCACCAAACAACACAGTGACTACCTGGAGCCCTACATGAGGCCCACTGACTGATTACATGACTGTAGACACCTGTGATGCTAATTAGTGGACACACCTTGAATTAACATGTCCCTTTGGTCACATCATCTTCAGTCTTTTCCAGGGTTATCATCATTTTTGTCCAGGGCTGTTTCACAGCATGGTTAGAAAATAATGGTAAATGGTAAATGGTCTGTATTTGATATAGCGCCTTCTAGAGTCCTGGAACCCCCCAAGGCGCTTTACAACACAATCAGTCATTCACCCATTCACACACCCATTCACACACTGGTGGTGATGAGCTACGATGTAGCTCTGGGGCGCACTGACAGAGGCGAGGCTACTGAGCACAGGCGTCACCGGTCCCTCCGACCACCACCAGCAGGCAAGGTGGGTTAAGCGTCTTGCCCAAGGACACAACGACAGCGACAGACTGAGCGGGGCTCAACCCTGCAACCTTCCGATTACGGGGCAACTCCTTTGCCACCGTCGCCCCACGACGTCTGACGTACTGTCTGACTTTCATTGCTGAAATTTCATAGAATTTTAATTTAATATTACTTTTGTTTGATTCGAGTTATTTCTGTGACCACTGTGTGTTTTTTTCTTTGACAGAAGGACACCAGCGATTGTGTCCACGTCTGTAATCAGGGTGTTCTGAATCATTTGGCTTCTGTGTTTGTTTTTTCAAGATCTGTAGGAATGTTTTACTTCCCTGTTTGAAACAGAAACTCAGGAACCGTCTAGACCTTCAATCTGCTTCTGCTAAATATCTGGGTAACCAGAAAGAGCCTGACTGCCTGGTGTTCGGGTTCTGTGGAGCTTACTGATGCGTGAACACCTGGGCGTACCTGACTGCCTCCTGGTGCGTCTGTACGGCAGATTTCCCTCCAGCAGCAGTGGGAGACTCTTCCTGGACTTCTCTGGCATGTAAAGCTGCAGCTCTGGAGGTTCTGATCAGAGGTGGAGAAGACATCCAGGAAGACACAAATTAAAGGTTTAATTCATTAAAACGTATTCAGGAGCAGCGCTGATTCAAACGGCACTCCAACCTGTCGGTCCACAGCACCAGGGAGAAAATTCTGTACTAACCCCAGATCCAGTCTAGAACAGGCCATCCTGTAGTTTCAACACTTTCAGATTAACACTTGCTGACCTTTGACCTCTGTACCATTTAAGCCGGGCGTGCACTGTGCGACTTTTTCGAGCCGATTTTCCACTCGTGCGAGAATCCACGAGATCGGGGCGAGTTTTGCGCTGAGCGTCGTGTACAGGGGGTTACGAGAGGCGATAAACACCACGTGACCAGCTACCGATCAGCAGTCGTGAGCTCGCACGGACTTCTGGCGTGTTTAATATTTTTGCTCGTCCCTCGTGAGGGTATTGCACTGTTGAAGCGGCGCTGCGACCCAAAATGTACCAGAACCGCTCACGGCGCATGCGCAATCCTGCATCAACGCCGCTCACCCGCTATTTCCCCAATAACACACGTTGTTCGTTTTTGTTTCTACACGTTTTTTTACTCACAAAGATTGTCAAGAAAGCATGTTTGTCGTGTTCGTGTCTAATTAAACTGATCACTAAACACAGATTTACTTTCTTTATTTTGTTTTCCTCATCCAACCCCCATAAATCCCTGTGTGTCCTCCTGCAGCACTCCCGAAGGACAACAGGCAAAACAAGACAAAAAAGTCTGACGTGTTGAGTAAAAACTGCTATTTTTAGCATATTTTTAGGCCCGACGTGTTGCTACCAGACGTACAGTGTGAGCGCGTGACTCGTGAGATCTGCCCTGCGAGGAAGTCGTACAGTTAGAGCTGAAGCTGAGTGCTACGAGGGGAAAAGTCGCACAGTGTCCGCCCGGCGTTAGACAGAAAACAGCTCAAGGGATGAGCCTGAATTATGTTGGCACACAACAGGAGCTGAGACTCAAAAGGTGAACTGAACTTTCTAACCCTAAAGAAAAGAAGTGAACACACCACACTTAGGTCCAACACATCACCCCGCTTCTCCTCCAGCTTCACTGGCTGCCAGTCAACTTCAGGGTTCATTTCAAGATCCTGGTTCTGGTCTATAGGGCCTTACATGGACAAGCACCATCTTACATTGGTGATCTTCTTAGTCCCTACACCCCCAGCAGGTCCCTGAGGTCCAGTGACCAAAGCCTACTGGTTGTGCAGCACCAGGCTAAAGGTCAAAGGTGACAGATCATCTGCTGCTGTGGCCCCCAGACTCTGGACCTCTCTCCCCCTGAGCCTGAGATCAGTGGACTCAGTGGTCTCCTTTAAAAAGCAGCTGAAGACTCACTTGTTCAAGCTGGCTTTTGTATGACCTTCTTCACCTCTCTCTCTTTATTCTGCTCTCCCCACCTATTCCACCTTCCTCAGGATCCACTGATTTCCCTCTTTCCTGTTCACTCTCTCTCTTTCTTAACATTTTTTAATCACAATTGTCTATTTTTGCTCATTTTAAATATATTTTTAAACATTTTCTAAATGCTTTTTTATATTTTTACACTTTTTGTTTTTGTGAAACGCCTCGTGGTTTTTATCTTGAGAGGCGCTATAGAAATGATATTTTTTTCTTCTTCTTCTTCTGTGGAAGTTCTGGTTCTGGTATTTGTCCAGGTTACTTGTTACGTTTCAGTTCAGGTCACATAAACCGTAGGAAACAACCCAAGACAATCTGGATGGAGTTTGGCTCCGAGCTAACAAAGACGTCTGACCCTGACCTGACTGACGCCGGCCGCGGTGAAAACCAGGAATGTCGTCCAGTCGTGGAGAAGCGCACGACCCATTCAGGTGGTCCTGATTCAACTGAGGAGCTGAAACACAGAAAGTGATGTCATCCCATCATCCACAACTGGTTACAGTGTCAGAGGTCAGGGCTCTGTTAAAGTCAGCGGGTGTAAACTCACTCTGACAGAAGTTGTCTCCGAGGACTTGTCTCGCCTGGAAGGACAGAAATCAGAGTGATGAATAAACAAAATATTCCAACAAACTCCGACAATCTCAGGCTCAGACACAAGAAGAACCTGAACTTTGTCGTGACCTTGTAGTTCATTTTAACCCTAACCCTAAACAAATCCTCCATTTACTAAAAACAGAACAAATCTCATCGTTCTCACCCTAATAGTAATACTTATTATTAATCCATATAAAGTAATAGTCATGTAATCATTGATATTAAATATGCAACAGAAACAGTTTCTAAGTGATGATGTCATGAACATGTAACCAAGGTGATTTAGTGCAGGGGTGTCAAACATGCGGCCCGTGTGCCGGATCCGGCCCGCAAGCGGGTTAAATCTGGCCCGCGAGATGGTTGTGAAAACTTTATTTTCATACTTTACAATGTAGAGTGAAAATAAACGCATCATTGTGAGCAAGTTTTCTCTGTAATGAGTATAAATAAAACAAAGCTGCGCTCAAGGCTCACACAAGAACTTGAATCACATCCTGAAGTTGGCCGCCACTCAGGACGTGACTTCTGATGTTGATGTGCCAGTGAAAGCTAAAAGATGTTAAGTAAAATGAGTCAAATATACTTTAAGTGCTGCATAAAACTTATCTAGCCATGTGATCTGTAAGCTCTTTGAATCACTAAGGAATTTTTTATTATGTATTGATTTATTATTTTTTTCAAATTTTCAAGTACTCTTCAGGTGTTGTACTTGTACTACACTGTCCTCAGGCTCCAGCCTTGTTTCATATTGATTGTATTAAAACAAAGAAAACAATCTGAATTTTTTTTTTTTTTACCGGTCCGGCCCACTTGGGACTAGATTTCCCTCAATAGGGCCATTCCCATCTGTACCGGGTCGGCCCGGGCCGGGTAGCGTAGGTTGTTTACATATCTGGGTGGCCTGGTATTTTTCCGGGCCAACCAAGGCTCATTCTCAGCCCTCTTCTCGAGGGGGTCTGCTTCAGGCCGACCAGGGCCAACACACCCACTGCTGACAGCAAATTCACACCTTCCATTAGAGCAAGCCTCTGATTGGTGGGTAGAATCAGCCCACATGGGCTTAAGGCAAGGATGTGTGGAATCAACCGGGCCAGGCTGGGGCCGACTGGGGCTACCCAGCCCGGGCCGACCCGGTACAGATGGGAATGGCCCAAATGTGGCCCCTGAGCTAGAATGAGTTTGACACCCCTGATTTAGTGGCTGCCGACGTTTTGTTAGGCTGCGGCGCCCCCTGGAGTTCTTTAGTAAAAGGAATGGATGTAATTTTCACTTTAGAAGTGCAGGGGACATGGGGGGTGGGGCGGTGGGGGTGGGGGGTGGGGGGGGGGATCTTTACAGTATGCTCCAATGGGAAACAGGCTTATACACCAACGGTTGTTTTCCGCTTGGTCCTGGAGCTCAACCAGAGTTAATTTAATATAAAGTAATATTTGTTTTGGATGTTAAAAAGTGCAGGGGTCAAAACTTGACTTTGGAAAAAGTGGCGGGGACATGTCGCCCCCCCCCCCCAAAAAACAAATTACGTCCATGGTAAGAGGAATACAGTTTCTGTCTCGGTTTAACATTCCTAAACAGTCGACTAAAACCAGCTGACTCTAATGAATTATTAAAGAGGGAGAAACAGTAGAGTTTTACTTCCTGATTGATTTGTTCTGTCTGACATTTAACTTTTTAACAGCTGAGTTTAAAGCTGATCCTGAGGCTGTTTCTATCCATCACTTCTGTAGATTTATTCTCACTTCTGATTAAATCCTGACTGACTTGTTTGTTTGTTTGTTTGTTTGTTTGTTTGTTGATGATAACAGACAGAAAACTCAGCGTCAGCTGTTTGGTTCCAGTTTCCAGCTCTAAGACCCAATAGTTATTCGGTCTGGTGACCAGCAGGCGGCAGCAGAGGTCAACACAGAGCAGCTGGAGGCCAACAGCTGAGCTTCAGTCAGAGGTCAAAGGTCAGTCCAAGTTCCATTAGTTGTCACCGCACACTAGTGAAAATGTTTCTCTGCGTCTGACCGATCCCCTGTGGCGAGCTGCAGCTGCGCTCGGGAGCTACGTGGTGGTTTAACCCCCCAATCAAACCTCCTAATGCGGAGTGTCAACCCAGGAGGCATGGGTCCCATGCTTTAAAAGTCTCTGACCCGGCCCAACTGTGGATTTGAACTCGTGATCTGTCAGTCTCAGCACAGACACCCATTCCACTGAGCCACCGGGAGATGGTAGAAGCAAAAGAGACAAAGAGAGGAAATTTCTCTCGGCTGGTATTCTACATAGTTTGCGTGTCTTTTTCTTCTGTGTTTTCCTAAATTTTCCCTCCTCTGCCCCTTTCTCTCCCTGTCCCCCCCCCCACCCCCCACCCCCTCCCCCCCTCATCCCTCCTTACCTTCTGAGGGAGTGAAGCTGGGTGGTTCTCTACGATCAGTCTCTTCAGGTAGTGGACCCAGAGTCTTTTCTCCTCCTGGTTCTTTGTCTGCAACAACAATACAGATTAAGTGTTCGTGCAAATGTAAGGAGAGGGTTAGTTCTGGTTCTGGTCGAGGTTCCTCACCTGGACCACGTGCTGCTGTTTGGGGATTGTCTGGTCCGACACTCTGAAGCAGAGTGGGTCCTTCAGGGTCTCCACCAGTTGCAGGTTGCAGCACTAGACAGGAGGAAATTAAAACAAGGCCCAGTTCAGACCCGGTTACGGTACCATAAGGTTCTGAAGACCCCCGGTTCTGAAGAACTTACAAATATATGTGTGCTGTAGACGAACTGCTCCAGCCTCTTCTTGGCGATCAGCAACATCTTATCAAACAGGAAGAACGCTCTCTCCTTCTTCACCCTGTGGACTTTAAAAGAACCCTCCAGAACCAGCTCCCCAAACCCGCCGAGGTCCGGCCCGCTCCAGTTCACCAGCAGGGACTCGATTTCCTGCAGAGGGGCAGTTACAGGTCAAAGGTCACATCCGTCTGAAAGTCAGACTTTGTGATTAGAGACGTGATTTAAAGGTTGTTGGTTCGAGTCCCAACAGAGTGTGCTGCACTGATTCTGTTGTTGCTTAATGTTAAAACAAAACCTGGAAAAAAAAAACCACAGCAAGATTTAAAGGTCGACAAAAAAAAAAAAACACACCTGCGCTCCTCACTAAAAACCCAAGATGGCGGCTCCGTCAGGTGGAAGCTGAAGCTCGTGTGAGGGAGATCTAAAGAGTGGTGCTGGTTCTACCTCCATCAGATTACTGGACGCTGGCGGTTAGCTAACTGACACGAGGCTCTGTGGCACAATGGACGGCACATTGGACTTCTAGGTCGGGAAGTGATTCAAAGGTTGTGGGTTTGAGTCCCACCAGAGTCGAGCTGTTTGCTTTGTCTCAGTAGGCTGAGCTTCACAGTTTACATCAAACTTGTTTAATTTTCTCAAAACTGCAGTTGAAGAAGGTGCTCCTTGCCCCGCTTGACCGGGTTTGGGCCAAACGGCTTCCCGTAGCTATGTACACTTTGCATTCCCAGATGTGGTGAAGATCAGAAACATCCGTAGATGCTAGCTGGGTAAAACCGGGCTCACACCCTCCCCCTCCCGGACACAGGTACCAACACACAAACAACACGTGTCATGGCAAACACACGCTCTGACATGTGGCCTTCAGCTGCTCCAGGGGCGAACAGCAGGATCTGATCTTGGGTCTGCTCCTGCGGCACAGCTGATCCCGGTGGTGAGCAGATGTGAGCGGTCGCCATCCCAGCTGCTCAGATCTTCACTTTGGAATGAAATCATGAAGCTTTGGGGCTCACGGGAGCTTTGATCTGACTGACAGCTGCATCAGCAACATCTGAATGTTTAACTTCACACGGATCCACTGGGAATGCTTGGATTATCACATATGTGAAAAAAATAAACGGTTGGTTGTAAAAGGGTCATGAAGCCGATCCCAGAAACTCACCGAGCTTCGATCGGAGAATCAAATTTACAACCAAACATTCAGATTTTTGTTAAAATTCCCACTGAATGAAACCAACTTCCATACCAAGAAGTGTCATAACATCTCTAAATTACGTCTCCCTTTAATCTCAATTTCATCTCATAATTTACTACCAACAGGAGAAAGATTCCAGATGTGTTCCAGCACCTGGAATGATTTGGGCATTTTTAAGTAAAACAATCCAAACACTTTTAAAGCTCCAGAAACGTGGAGACCTGGAGACTCTGGAGAAGAACCCCAAAGCGGGATTTGGGAACGTCGTTACGATGAAGACTTCAGAAGTTCCTGATGAAGCAGCTGTAAAACATCCTAAAGTATAAAGGTGGGGTTATATTTTACTTGAAACGATTAAAAAATAAAAAAAAACTAAGAAAAAAAGAGACAATCAACGGATAAAAACACTGAATTGACATCAATGAGCAGCAGGAAGACTGCAAAGGATGCTGTTCCAGGAAGGGAACACCTGGAGGTTGTAACACGATGAAGGAGCTATTCCTCCAAGGTTATTTAACCTCTCCCCAGTTTCCTCTCACACAGCGCCAGAGTGCGTGAAACAGCCTCAAGGTCATGCATTCGCTTCTAAACTGTTTACTTTCCAGCAAAAGAAGACAGAAGATGAAGACTCTTTTCTTTTATTAAATCAAACAACTCTATTTTCAAGAAAGCTAATCAAAACAACTGTTAGTCAATAATACAATGTGACCGATCTGTGAAATCACAATATTATTATTAATATGTTTAATAAGTAGTATGACTAATTCTAGTCCACTAGACACGCTGACACACGTAAGGTAAACAACTGCATGACACATTGCTGTGCTGATCCAATCAGAACCTTCCTAGTCTGAAGCGTGGCAGAGTCTCTGTGGTGTTTATTAAACCTGTCAGCTTTGATTCGTCCAGAATCAAAAACATCCAGATTAATAAAACCGTTCCAACGCCATCTTAAGTTCAGTTCTCAAGATCTCACTGAGTTCACCGCATGTTAAGTGAAGTATTGGACCGGCCATCTGTACTTCTCTTTTTAAGCTGAGAACCATCAAGCTGGGAAAAATTTGTTGTTTTTACCAAACAAGAAACGGTTCCTTCCGAATAAAAGCTGAACTCGCTGACCCAAGGAGGGTCTCTTTTTGACGCTGTGAACCACCTGTCGCTTTTTACCTGGAGACTATCCAAAGACTGGTTTGTCGTACTGTCGACGCTGTTTCAACGGCTCCGGTACCAGAGGAGGGTCCGTGGACCTGCCATCCGGATCTGTACGGAGGTCTCACTGAGGGTATGTGGATGCGACACGAACGGCGTCTCATGTGGTTATGAAACTACTCTGATAAGTTCTCACACCTCATTCATACCAGCTACATCCATCATTAGAGAGTTCGTCTTGTTAAATTGTTTAAAATTATTTAGTAATAAATCATCTTAAACGGTTGAAGGCCTCTCTCTCTTCTCGTCTCTCAGTTAATACAAAGTGTTGTCTAATCCCTGCATTAAAAAGACCCAATCTTCTGTTTAAATAACCCAGTGTCCGCAAGATGGATTTCATACTCGATATGAAATTTTAATGTCTTAAGGTCCTTAATTAAATGTAAATTACTATTGTTACAAGGTGGTCTACCTGCAGCCGCAGGGCGTGGTCCTGTTTCCTCTTCATGTCGTTGATGTACCAGGCCACTGCTGTCATGGTGATGATGGCGTCCTCCACCACTTCATATCCTGCTTCGCTCTTATCAAAGTGTTTTGAAAGTTCCTGAATCAGCCAGACAAAAACCCACAGGAACGTCAGGAACCACAGGCAGAACCTTCTCCTGATCCACAAAGTGAACTTTACGATGTGAATCCATTCTTTTATTAATCTAATCTGAGATAAACCAGAGAATCAAATCATGAAGGAGTCTGTGCCGACTGAAACATGGAAACCTGTCCAGAGGATAGATACGGATCAAACGGGAACGCTGTTCATCTCAAGCAGGACCAGCTGAGAATTCTGGGAAGTTTCCTGCACAGATTCAAACACATGTTTGATCCGTGTTTAAGCTGGCCACCATTACGTAGCAGCAGGGAACAAAGAGCGGGGTTTCTCTCCGTTCCATCATCCCTCACTCCACTCAGAGGTGGGCTTGGACTGGGACCAGTCCAGAGGGTTTACTGGGAAGAGTCAGCGATGTCTGAGCTAAGACAATCTCTATGGGAATGTTGTGAGAGCTGGTCTTCATTAGAGAGACATGTTTACTATGAAGAGATGAACCAGCGCCACAGAGAGAGGAGAAGCTGCTCCTGGATCAGCTTCCAGCCTGAGCACAGACTCTCTGATGGTCTCACCTGTAGGAGCAGGTGATACTTCAGGATCCTCTGAACTGGTTTCAGCAGGTACGTTTCCAGAGGCAACGAGTGATTGAGGGTGGCCCGTCTCTCCTGGAAGAACCGAACCAGACTTTGATTTTTCATGCACTCCTTCAGCACCGCCACCGAGCTGTTGGAGAACACGAGAGAGCTGTTAGAACACTGAAACATGGTGGAATTGTGGAGCTTCAGCTGCCAGCTCCACGGACGGACGGGGGGGAGGAGGCGGGAGGAACCTCCCTGTGTCTGCAGCAGAAGGGGAGGTGAAGGAAGGAGGAACCCTTTTAACAAACACATTTGGAACAGGAAAGAACTGAAACAACTCTGGATCTCCTGCATTCATCTCAGCGTGAATGAAGGAAACGAAGGATGGAGCTCAAGATGACAAACAGTGGAGAATCCTCAGCTGTTGGATCCTGCAAAGAACATCCATCACAGCGGGAAGCTGAGGAATCTTTGACACCAGCTGTGAGACTGGAAGAAAAGGAGAGAAGGCAGTAAAGGCGAAAGTAGAGGATGTGGGGAGGACAAGGTACCGATGGGAATCAGGGGAAGAGACGAGCCGTTTTCCTCCAGATGGATGTTAATCACAGGAAGGAATTCTGAGCAGGAGTAATATCTTCTACAGACACCCCTGATGGGTTCAGCAGCGACTCTGAAACAGACACAAAGTCTGAACATCTCAAATTCATCCTGCAGCTGGAAAAAAACCTCCTTAAATATTCAGAAGTTCCTTCAGCCGCAAGATGAACAAGAATTCTAATTCAATCCCCTCAAATCCTCAAATAACACCCACCATTCGCCACGTCAGGAAGATGTTGGGAAGCTGCACTAGGATCCAGAGACTTTTATTGTGAAAATCCGAGAGCTTAAAAAAGACTCAGATATTTAAGGTGGAGCTGGAGCTCCACAGAAAGAGCTAGCCTGGGATCCAACCTTGGATTTGGTTTGACCCCAGGCCTGAACTCGTGTCAGACTCTGGAACTGACCCTAGAGCCGACTCCGGACGTGACCCACATCCCCGTTAGGAGACTCCAGCAGGGCCTTGGTGGATGTTTCCAGGTTTTTGGCCCTGAAACTAGATGTTCTGCTCTGGAAGCAGGAGTTAATTTTCCTCTGAGAGCCAGAGATGAATCTGTCATCTGACACAATCTCACCTCAGCATGAAGAATTTAAAACACACGGCCCGGATGAAAAATGAATACGGAGGAATTCTGTGCTTGGACACATTCCCGTCCAACACAACTCCCGGCAGCTGGTGGAGTTTTCTTCACGAACGGATCATTTTATCTTCAGGCGCTGTTGTCCCAGACAGAACCCAGGTTCTGCTCCTTGTTATTCTCACACATCACAGATAATTATAGTTTCTCCTGAGAGCCTGGGTTCATTTGCACCAATCAGGAAAAACCTGGAACTCTGACAAAAACTTCCTGACTCCCAAGTCCTGTTTGGACTTCATAGAGCTGGTTTCAGCTCCCCGAGTCGGACAAATGAAGGAAACTCCAGCTGTGCATGGAGAAGAATGGAGCTCCATCGGTTTGGGTTCACGGTTCCTCTACACCTGAGACTAAAGAACAACAGTGAGATGACTCATTTACTGTTTTGTTTTTCACTTGAAATGTTTTTGTTCATCTGGAGCCGTTCTCCTCTCAGACCTCTAGAAGAAGCTTTCTGTTGCAGGTTGACCAACTGCACCTCAGAGCAGATTCAAGACCAAACTCAAAATCCATTAAAAAGTAAAAGTAGTTCAGATTATTCCTCCACTCATCCATCCATCCATCCATCCATCCATCCATCCATCCACCCATCCATCCACTCATCCATCCATCCATCCATCCATCCACTCATCCATCCATCCGTCCGTCCGTCCATCCATCCATCCATCCACCCATCCATCCACTCATCCATCCATCCGTCCGTCCGTCCGTCCGTCTGTCCATCCATCCATCCATCCATCCATCCATCCATCCATCCATCCATCCACTCATCCATCCGTCCGTCCGTCCGTCCGTCCCTCCATCCATCCATCCATCCATCCATCCATCCATCATCCATCCATCCGTCCGTCCGTCCGTCCATCCATCCATCCATCCATCATCCATCCATCATCCGTCCGTCCGTCCATCCATCCATCCATCCATCCATCCATCCACTCATCCATCCGTCCGTCCGTCCGTCCGTCCCTCCATCCATCCATCCATCCATCCATCCATCCATCATCCATCCATCCATCCATCCATCCATCCATCCATCCATCCATCCATCCATCCATCCATCCACCATCCATCCATCCATCCATCCATCCATCCATCCATCCATCCATCCATCCATCCATCCATCCATCCATCCACTCATCCAACCATCCGCCCGTCCATCCATCCATCCATCCATCCATCCATCCATCCACTCATTCATCCACTCATTCATCCACCCACCCATCCATCCATCCATCCATCCAACCATCCGCCTGCCTGTCCATCCATCCATCCATCCATCCATCCATCCATCCATCCATCCATCCATCCATCCATCCATCCATTCATCCATCCATCCACTCATCCATCCATCCATCCATCCATCCATCCATCCATCCATCCACCCACCCATCCATCCATCTATCCGTCCGTCTGTCCATCCATCCATCCATCCATCCATTCATCCATCCATCCACTCATCCATCCATCCATCCATCTATCCGTCCGTCCGTCCATCTGTCCGTCCATCCATCCATCCATCCATCCATCCATTTACTTCTGCTTATCTGGAGTTGGGTCGTGGGGGCAGTAGCCTAAGCAGAGGCCCAGATTTCCCTCTCCCCAGCCACTTGGACCAGCTCCTCCGGGGGAATCCCAAGGTGTTCCCTGGCCAGGTGAGAGACATAGTCCCTCCACCGTGTGCTGGGTCTAAATTTAGGTCTCCTCCCGGTTGGACGTGCCCGAAACACCTCCCCAGGAGGCATCCTGATCAGATTCCCGAGCCACCTCAACTGGCTCCTCTCGATGTGGAGAAGCAGCGGGTCTACACTGAGCCCCTCCCGAATGACCGAGTTCCTCACCCTATCTCTAAGGGAGAGCCCAGCCACCCTGTGGAGAAAACTCATTTCGGCCGCTTGTATCCGTGATCTCGTTCTTTCGGTAACTACCCAAAGCTCGTGACCATAGGTGAGGGTAGGAACGTAGATCAACCGGTAAATGGAGAGCTTCACCTTCTGACTCAGCTCTCTCTTCACCACGACAGACCGGTACAACGCCCGCATCGCTGCAGATGCAGCACCATTCCGTCTATCGATCTCACGCTCCAGCTGTCCCTCACTCGTGAACAAGACCCCGAGATACTTAAACTCCTCCACTTGGGGCAGGACCTCATCCCTGACCCGGAGAAGGCATTCTACCCTTTTCCGAATCAAGACCATGGTCTCAGATTTAGAGGAGCTGATTCTCATCCCAGCTGCTTCACACTTGGCTGCAAACCGCTCCAGCGAAAGCTGAAGATCACGTTCTGATGAAGCAAACAGGACCACATCATCTGCAAAAAGCAGAGACCTGATCCTCAGGCCATCGAAACGGATGCCCTCCACACCTTCGCTGCGCCTAGAAATCCTGTCCATAAAGGTTATGAACAGAATCGGTGACAAAGGGCAGCCTTGGCGGAGTCCAACTCTCACTGGGAACGAGCCCGACTTACTGCCGGCAATGCGGACCAAGCTCTGACTCCTACAGAGAACATTCAGATGTTCCTGTTTGATTTAAACCTGACTCTAACTGAACCACAGGAGAAGGAAGTGGTGATTTGGTGGCTCTCCTGTTGAACAACACGTCTGCTTGTATTTATATTTCTGTCTAAATCTCTCAATAAAACCATTACTGCATCATTGTTGTGCTGAGAAGATGATCAGAGAAGATCCTGACAGTTGGACCCAGATTCAGCCTAAAAACCAAACCAGCAGAGCATCTACTTAAAAACCAGCCGAACATCTCAGCAACAACCAGACTAGGATGACTCTGGGGTATTCTGTGTAAAACTGCCGTTCAAATATTTTTAACCTGTTCCAAATCCCAGCGACACATGGACGAGTCCCGGAGACTCACCTGGAGAACCTCTGAGAACATTTTGAGGCCACCAGCAATTTTAACCCATCGAGGTTCTGGTTGTCCACCTCTAGACTTTCTTTGACGAGCTGCAGAACTTTAACTCGTGACAAATAACAACATATTAATGATGTGCTAATGTGAGATTTAAGTTTTTGTTCTAACATGACGGGAATATTCAGACGGAACAGCCTCCTGTTCCGAGGGAAGCGAAGAACCATCTGTGTCCAGATGGAACCCCAACAGGATTTAGGAAGCATGCTTCAGTGAAACCAAACGTCTGTACGGCTGGAGTGTAAATGTTGGAGGTGGAGATCTGGAGTCGCAGTGTAAACAGAACCCTCCGAGTGTTCTGGATGAGATACGGCTGGGCTCCAAACTCATCTTCTCCTCCATAAAGCAAACCGACCTCCTCCGTTCCTAAAACCAGGAGCTGTGTGTGTGTGTGTGTGTGTGTGTGTGTGTGTGTGTGTACTTACTTTGGATAGTTCATACAGTACAGTGTGTAGATGTCAAAGGCTTCACTCTGAAACAAAAGAAGTTGAATCAAGTCAGACTGACTTTAAAGAGCAAGTCACCCCCAAATCACATTTTTTTTGCTGATAAACTATATAAAGGAGTGTCTAATCATGCTGCAGACACGTGTCGTCAATAATATGGCAGTTCAGTGCATCTTGGTTAAAATTCAAATATTCTGCCTAAAACTGTCAGTGTTGTGCCGTCGTCAGGGAAAAATTCTGCACTGCATTTGAATTTAAATCTGCCATCGCTATTGGCTAAGAGGTATGCTATGATGTCATCTGGTACATTATGATGCCATAATGCCATTGTGAGCCTGTGTGTGTGTGTATTTGTTAGCGGCTCCGCCCTCTCGGTCTGCCAAGCAACAGCATTTGTTGCATTTTTCAAACATGAAGTGGGAGTGACGTAAGTTTCTTGTAGGGGGTGACTTGCTCTTTAATCAGAAGCAGAGCTTCAGATACGGAGGAACTCAGCAGGAACATCTAGAGTTCACCTTTCTGTTATGAACCACCTGTTATATCAATGATCAACATCATCTGTGCTGCTGGACCATCAGTTCTGGTACTGGCAGTTTCCCACAGAACCCAACTGGACTCACCCGCTCCACGAAGCAGTCTGCGATGGCCGCAGCGTCTGGACTTCTCTCTAAATCTTCCAGGAGATCACTGAAAATACAAACACACAGGTGGAGGGGTTCAGAAAGACGGGTCCAACCCACACAGAACCAATCCTCTGCCCGGTTCTGGTTCAGGACCTTTAAGATGATCAGGGATCAAAGTCGAGCTCTGGCACGACAGACCACCCGTTGGACTTCTAGTCACAAGCAGTGACTCGGAGGTTGTGGGTTTGAGTCCCACCAGAGTCCAACATCAAAGCTGAAGCAGCTGAATGTTTTAGTTCCTTCAGATAAAAAACAGCCACAGGTTTCCTTTTAACTTCCGCCCTCTGACTTTCTTCTTAGAAAACAGTAAAACTACACCTGCAGCTTCATTTGGCCTAAAGACCAGAGCTACTGAAGACATGAGAAGATGTGGCTTGATTAGGAGACAACGGCTGGTTTTAGGCGCTGCATGACTTAATTTTTTTTAAAGTCGACAGTCAAGTAATGAAAATCGAGTCGACTTCGACCAGTCGTTGATGACGTCATACACCTGAAGCGGCGGGGGTGGGGTGGGGGTCGGTTGGTTCGCTGGAGTTTTTGACAATTAAAACCGCGCCCACATTTTCAAAGTTAAACACATTTCTTTTAACAACGGTAGTTTCTGCTTCAGCCCTCTCCCCCTCCCCCTGCACTGATGCACCTGCAGCCTCTCGGAGTTCCTGCTGCTCTAAACATTAAAATAATTATTTCATTTTCTGTTCCTCACTTCTGATGACCTTCAATGGTGTCTGTTTGTTGCAACCAGCAGGTACAAAAACTAACTTGTTTTTATTTGACTATTTTTCTGTCCTGCCTGTTTATTATCTTCCTGCATCTCCTCTCAGTCCTAAAGAGAAACTGCTACCTGGGTTCATATATATTCACCTCATGAGTTACCTTTGAACTGCAGTTCTAACAGATCTACCGACCGCTAAAACAGCGGAGTGCTCGCTGCTCGCCGGCCGCAGTGTGTCACCGGAGGACAAAACAGATGATGCGCCCCGCTCCACAGCAGCGGGGCGCATCAGGCAATAATAAAAGACAGAAAACATAAAAGGAAATGAGCCGACATGAACGATCGCGTGTTAAATTAGTTTTTGAGGTGGCGACACCTGATTTGATAATGTTACTGTGGCCGTGCTCAGGACGCAGATGTCTGGAGCGCGTCAACAATCAGAGCTTTGCATGCGCAAGCTGGTTAAGGTTAGGATGGGGGTGAGGGGAAGGTTAAATTGCAAGAGGGTAAAGGTCACAATTTGGTTAAATGTCCGTTTTACGGCGGGTGTCAGTACCGACGCTCTGGCACAGCGCGTTGCCTCCGCCTCGATCCAGACGCGCAGGGGCTCGCCACCTGCTGTCTTTTCCGAGGACTGCATCTTGTCATTATCACGTGAGAGCGACTAGTCGATTACAGGCATAAAAAGTCACTACAGAGCAGTGAGGTCGACTAGTCGACTAGTTCATACAACCCCTAGTTGGTTTATCATCAGAACGTCCAGCAGCGTGTGGATCATTATAGAACCAAAACCACGAGAGCTGGTAACGATTTATCTGATCAAACTAGTTTGGCTGATTATTTATTTTGAACTCGTCAGCTCAAACAAATCTGATTCAGGTCAGTGAATGTTCTCCGTTTCCATAGAAACCATCTTCATGTTTGTGTGTTTGAAAAGAAGCATGACCCCACAGATCAACACTTCTTCCTATTACTCTTCTTCATCACGTCCTGTCAGGAAGAGTTTATCAGCTCAGAGCTGCTAGAGTTTCTGATGAAGTCTTAAAGATGTTAAACCAAATTAATTCGTTTCAGTTGCAGTTTTAAATATTTTGTTGTTCAGGAGTTCTGTGAGGATCTCCTCAGAGATCTTCGGTTTTCCAGATGTGCAAAAAAAAACATTTGCATGATTTGTTTTTTGTCCTGATGTTTGTTCACTTTTGTTTTGTTTTTTGTTTTTTTGCCTGTTTCATCCTGATACCATGTTTCTGAGGTCAGAGAGAAACCTGAGCTCTCCTCCTCAGCATATCTGCTATTTATGTGCAGATTTGTATTAAATTATGTCGTAATTCTGCAGAAGAACCCGGGGAAATTTCTCTGACTCACGGATGTTTGAAACCTGATCGAAATCAGTTTGGAAAAAAAGTGAATCATGATGAAAATGGGAGTTTTTGTGGAAAAAGGAAACTGATTGTTCTTACTGAGGTTGTTATTTTAACCTGACAGCAGGGTGAAAGTTACACACACACACACACACACACATACATCCGAGGTCATCAGCGTGACATGAGGTTTAACATGACAAGAACAACAATGCAGGTTAAAAACACTAATAGCTCATTTTACTTTTACTTTTTCTCCTTTTGGTCGTTTCTGCATCAGATAAAAACAAGATTTTATTTCTGAAATTCAAAGTGAGCAATCGTCTCATTTATCTGATTCAGCCTCATAGGCTGTGTGTGTGTGTGCGTGTCTGCGTGTGTGTGTGTACGCTTGCCTTCTTGACACAAACTGTTGCATCACATCCGTCATTTCCCTGTAGAGTTGTGTTTTAACTTCCTGGAACCCGATCCAGCTCAGTGAATTCAATAAATAAATAAATAAACCCCTGATTTGACGTTTAAAAATGAACTCATGAGTCTGTTTGTGGCAGAATAAAACATAACTTATTATAAAAATAATGACGGAGATAAATTTCAATATTTTCTCACATAAAATATGAATAAATATTAAAGATTCATTTTTCAAACATCTTCAGAAGCTGAAGCCTCTCCCAGGAGGCTGAGCTACATGTTTAAGGTAAGATGTCTTACAATATCAGAATAGATGAATAAAAATGAAAACAACTAAGTTTTACATTTTAGCTGTGTTAAATGAATATTTGTTTATGGAGAGAATCCACCTGTCACATTCCAGGGATGTTTAGGACCCAAATATGCAGATACCCAGGAGGACACGTGGCAGGAGTAGATATAAGAAAAAATCCTTTATTGAAGGAGACAAAAAATAAAATAGATCCAAAAGGTTGGGAGCAAATAAATCCAAAGGCAGTCCAAAAACTAGAGACCAAAAACACAGGAGACAAGACAGGGCTTAAATACACAGGGAGGATGAGAGGGAGATGAGCTGCAGGTGTGTGGGGTGTGGGAGGAGGACCAGGTGAAGGCAATGACTAATCAGGGGAGAAACTAACTTGACCTAAGAATAAAACCTCATACAAAAGAGCAGGAAACATAACTACAATTCAAAGGGAGGGGGGAGAGATATAATAAACACTGATGGGAAAAACATACTAAATCATGAAAGGCTGTAACTAAAGGAAATGACTTGAGAAACCTAGAGGGCTGGAGATCTAGGGGCAAATAGGGAAAACCAGAAGACACATGAGGAAGACGCAGACATGACACATGAGGGCGCAAGGACACAGAAGGAGCACCTAGAGAACGAATGGAGGACACAAGGAGACACATGAGGGGAGATGCAGGCACAGACCATGACACCACCTGCTTCTGTTGGAGCCTTTTATCAAACCCTTTCATTTGTTGAGACGATGAGTAAAATCAACGCTGAGATCATCTGTGGCTTCAGCAGAGTTGAGACGGCTGGAGGCAGAGACGGAGAGACGAAGACAGAGGGACGACTGAAGAGGAGACACCACGCTGGATTCCAGACCAACACTCATCAGAGGAGGTTCCACCACACGACTCTCACTGCATTCTTAGTTAACAAGCTCTAAACAAGTCTCTCATTATCACACACACACACACACACACACACACACACACACACACACACACACACACACACACACACACACACACACACACACACACACACACACACACACACACACACACACACACACACGCACGCACGCACGCACACACACACACTGTGCTCTTCCTCTCAGTCTTCCACCACTTCAGCTCTCTTTGGCGTCAGCCCTCATTTTGTGGCTGGCGGACATCATTAGTGGGGGATTGTGGGAGAGGAAGAGGGAATTCTGGGGTTTTTTGCTCTTTTTGAGAAACCACAGAAGAAGAGAAGGAGGACAAGGAGGAACCTGCTGTCCAAATTGAGCGAGAGAGTACCGTCAGATGGAAGAGAGGAGAGAGAACGTTCTTTCACTGGAAAATCACAGGAATCAGTTCACAGGTCAAAGGTCACACAGACTCAAGCTGAATTGGTCCATGTTCAAAGGTCACCTGAAGGGTTCAGGATGTTCCTTTAGCCTGCAGCGCTCCGGGTTCTGTTTACCTTCTGTAATCTCAAGGCTCTGCTGAGTTCTGGTGTTTCTGTTTGTGATGTTCTGGATGTTCACACCTCCTTCTATCACCTCCCATCAGTTCTCAGGACTGCCACACAAACAAGCTCACCTCAGCTCCACAACCCCAGTGACCTCCAACCCCAGAACGCCCCCCACCTCACGGCAAGCTGGGCCCAAACCAAACACTCCAGGGCCGGTCCTGGTCATCATCCTCCCACAAAGAGAGAGGCCCGTTTAGCAGAGTGATTAACAGCAGCTGACTCTGTGGCATCTGAGAAATGCTGCTTAACTAAACCACTGGGGGGTGGGGGTGGGGGGGGGGGGAGACGGGGAGCAGGAGGAGCCAAGAAGAGGGAACAGAAGGCAGGAGGAAGAGCAGAAGGATGGAGCAGGAGGAGGAGAAAGATGGTGGAGCTGAAGGGAGGGTCAAGAGGAGATGCAGGTTGGAGCAGGAGGTCCTCCTTAAAGCTAATAAGGATGGCTTTTGTTTTGTTTCTTCCGAACTTTCACTCTGAGGAAGTTTCCATCAGACCCACCCGTAATCAGAGCCAGCAGCGACCTGTTCAGGTGTGTTTGAGTTACTGAACCGAGCCTCGACCCCGACAGGAACACTAAGGTGTCTCCAGGGCGGGGTGGCGCCACCGCGTTTCATTTCTCTTCAGGAGCCGCTGGCGCTGAAGCAGCCTGTAATCACTCCTTTACAGCCAGATGAAGTGAGCTTAACACGGTTCTAACAAGCTCTGATGATGTCCCAATGTTCTTC